GTTGAAAAGATCTACTGCGCAGAGCAGATCGAAACCACAAGAACCGATCCAGCTTCCAAGCTTGACGGGTAGCGACTTCAACATCTGCCCGACAGGCAATGCACAAGCCCTTGGCGTAGCAGTGGAGCAAGCTAGCAACCTCAGCTAACAACAACAGGTCATGGCAAATGTGAAAGAGAATTCAAAGAACACCTCGAAGTACCTCAATTTTTAGCAGGCGCTGACAGAAAGAACCTTCACAGTGCCTCTGAATTAGATGAAAACGAATTCAACACTCAGCCTGCCCAGCGTGTTCCACGCAGGCACGCTTTGTGCAAAGGTAAGCAGGGAAGCTTCACCTTCTTCTGGGATTTTAGCCTTGAGGCGTCAACCTTCACTCTTCTTTTGATGCCAACCTTCAATCCGAATCGCTCACGGAGCTGCCTTTCTAATTTCTTCTCTGCCGCAGTCAGCGATTTCTTTCTTGCTGCTGGCATGGGGGCCGAAGGGACCGCATGGACCGCAAGAACCATGTTGCCTTCTTGTGGCAATCTCCCGCATCTAGACCCAGGCTGGGCCCAATCCACAAGGGCGATGGCAACCAACATTGCTACTCCCACAGTCTGGAGATGCATCATGTTCCCACCCATGTCCTCCAACTCAGCATCGGTTATGCCTTCAAAGGACATGGTGTGCACTGGCAGGCAATGTAGCAAGAGCTTTTCCATGGGAGCTAACATTCTCCGAGCTTCAGACACAACCACGTGGGACCCAGGGGTGATGGTAGGTGTGCAATCAGATCGCAAAGGGACACGGCCCAAACTTTGGGACAAGTCAGCAACTGCCAGTCTAGGCATGCTCTTGTCCGTCAGCAAGTTCTTCCACACATCACGCTCACGTGGTAGGTGAAGAAAAAGTTCATCAGGGCTTGGCATGCTTGGGTCTGGCTGGATCTGGCTCTCAGCATGCTCCAACTGCCAGGCTGCATGGCGCTGCTTCCATTTCTGCGACCTACTGTCGCCACCAAAGTTTGCAGCTTTGGCATCTTCCCACCTTTGCTGGCGAAGGGACTGGTTTTCCAAGACAAGCTTGTGCTCTGCAGGCAAGAGCCTCTTGCCAAGTGGGACCGCAGGACCGCTGGAGCTCTTCAACCTTTGCCAAATATGGTTGTACATGCCTTGAGCCACTTCTTCACCAACAATGGCCACACCCTGTCGAACTCCTACAAAATAGTAGCGCGGCCTGCTGACGGGCTCACCTAAATCCGTGGGATTGAGCAGGTGAACTACCACCATGTAACCCAAATCCCTCAACGTCTGCATCACTTCATCCATGCAGCGCTGTATTCCTGGAACGTTTTCCAAAACAAATGAAGCGGGCTGAGACTTGCGTACCCTGGTGACTACGGAGTAGAAGATCTTTGCTTGGTCCTCTTCAAGAAGCCTCGTGTTCACGTGAAGCATTGAAAAGGGCTTACAGCTGAAGCCAGCAACATAGAGTTCTGCGCAGCATCAGGAGTTCTGCGCTCATGGCGGGCTGCTGGCTCAGAAGAGTGCTGACGCTCTCCACGATCTCGCGCTGCGCCCGCTGGTTGTGGTCAAACGCGGCCTCCACGAGGGGATCTTGGTAGTGGGACCGCTGGGACCGCTGGGCCAAGGACTGCACATCAGCCTCCTCAAGCTCCTGGGCCAAGAAGTCCTCCACATGCTGGGCCTGCTCTTCCTCCAGCGGGGCTGCAGGCTGCAAGGCTTCCGGCTCGCCGATTGGCAGCTCTGGCTGTGCCGCCGGCTGAGCAACTCCTTCCTGATCCGCCATCCTGACTCCACGCGCAATGACCGCAAGGACCGCAGGAACCATGTGACGTCACCAAGCCGAGAGCTTCTTTGGGCAAACAGGGGGCAGCAATGATGGTGTAAATAGCAATTGAGTGGCATTGATCATGGGCTATTTCAGGAATTTTCAGCCAATTTACAATTATTAAAGTCCAAGTTGGCACATCGTTGCTCCCAGTCATCCTGATCCCGGTCAAGGCTGGCCTGCAAAGGGGAGATGTGGCTTGGCACCGCAGAAGGCAACGGCTGGACAGGGCCTGGGCACAGAGCGATGGGTGAACTACTGGACCGTTGGACCCCTGGACTGGTGGAAGAGCAAATGACCTTAAATTGCTATCAAATTAAGCTATGATGTGTAAAAACTCAAATGTGATACGGAAGCATCATTTGGATGCTCTTTAGCCTCAAATCTGACTGAGGGCAAGACCAAGGAAAGCGATGGCTTTGACTATGCAGTGGTGCTGGAACCAAACTGGCTACTTTAAGGACGCTAGCGAGACACTCACACAAACGGAAAAAAATAAAAAATATGCGAAATGCCAACGTAGTATATATTATACACATCAAAATCAAAACGAAATATATGTTTCTCTCTCTCTCTCTCTCGCTGCGGGCTTAGCTCCAACACCGCCTCATTGAGGCGCCCCATCGAACTAAATTAAATGCTTCCCTATTTTTTTTTTTTTTTTTTTTTTTTTTTTTATTTTTTTTTTTTTTTTTTTTTTTTTTTTTTTTATTTTTTTTTTTTTTTTTTTTTTTTTTTTTTATTTTTTTTTGTTTTTTGTTTTTTTTTCTTTTTTTTTTTTTTTTTTATTTTTTTTTTTTTTCTATTTTTTTTTTTTTTTTTTTTTTTTGTTTTTTTTTTTTTGTTTTTTTTTTATTTTTTTTTTTTTTTTTTTTGTTTTTTTTTTTTTTTTTTGTTTTTTTTTTTTTTACAAAATCATCTCAAATCAGCATGCTGGGAAACATAGATGCACAATGATACACAGCAAATACGTGGTTTCAGCCTGTTCCATTCATCTCCCGAATGCTGGACAAAGGTGAACATACTTGAAACAAGTAGGTTCCTCGATGAAAATGCGCCATTGACATCACAGCAGAATGTAGCATCACATCACCTTTAAGAGTGTGCATAATATGCATTCGCATGCACACATTCCATTCCTGGAACATTGCGCTACATCTTGGTGCAGTAAGATGACGGCCAGCACTTGTGCCATGCCCCAAACTCTTTTGGGATGATTGTCGAGAACCTCATTTTGGGTGACCCTTACAGTACTTTGTGGCCTTCCACTATGTTGAGAGATGTTATAACTTGATGTCCCTGGGTTTGCGAACCCACGGACGTGTTTGATGACCCTCTGCGGGGAATCTGCTGACCGGCAATCCTGGTTTTCAGCACTTTTTACACACACCCTAAAAAAACCTAGAAAATCCCTAGGAAAAAGCCCAAAGAAACCCTCAGTGAACCCTAAAGCAACCCTAAAGAAACCCTGAAAAAACATGAAACACATTATGAAAGTGTATAGTGAAGTACCTGTGGGGCGCAGCGCACGTGCTGCGGGGAAAATTACACAACACACCGCAAAATGCACCCCACAGTGTAACAAGGGGCAGCAAATCGCAAACCACAAGGTATCTTAAGTAGTTTGCAAACAGCTGCCAACCCAACGAGCATACCTTTCGTTGCATTGCATTACGTTCATAATCCATGGATATCCATGGGTAAGAACGTAAAACACTTCGACAGCATACGCAGAGAAACTCACTGCAAAACAAACCACCTCTAATGACTACAAAAACCAGCACTAATCAACACAACTACCGTCCACTACCTGTATGATCCTGTATGTCTGTATTTAACATGGAAGACACCCAATTACAACAATGTAAGTAGTGTTTCTCTGAGTTGCATTGATTCACACCATCTTGCATTGCATGAAATCAGATCTCTGCATCACATTTCTAGATTGAAATAACCACATCACATCATGTTGTTTTGCACCAGGTTGCTTTACCGTAGAACTTCATTAACCACTTGAAATTTTGAAATGGTATGGCAATAGCATACAAATCACACAAGGAATCTAATTTCATATTTTTAAGCCTACTCTACATTGCAATATATGAAACGAAATGAAAACGACATGACTCAACGGCGTTGGATACAAATCAAATCCCTAAGTTCCCAGTATGATTCTTGCTGGGCCACAAATTCCAAAGCATTCAAGTGCATTCAATCAAACAGTGTGTACATACAACACCATACAACATATTTCACCTCATTGCCCGCTTTGAGCACTTCTCTGAATCATCTTGGCTGATTGGTGCTTGCCGGATCAGGTTTTGACATGGAACCAATTCCCAGGCACCAAGGGACCAAGCTTGTTCTTGGCTATTTGCATCCTGCAGCACTTGAACGTCCACACCAGCCACTCCGGCATCCAACACGCGCACCTCGTGATGCCCAAAAATCCCCAAAACAGAATCCTTCATATTGCAATTGTAATACTGAAAATTACGACTACGAAAAATATCTAAAAACTAAAGGACTAAACGACATTGTTGTCAAAAACACATAAAAAATACATCTATAGAACCACACAACTTTACGGTCTCTGAATTGAAATGTTTATACATACTGCACCCATACCCTTTGTGATCCATGATCCCGATCACATCCCAGTTGTTTTTTTTGGTCCGTATCATCTAAATAAGACATGGTGGACCATGGTGGGGTTTAGGCTGACGTTCCATTTTTGTTGGTCCAAAATCCATCAATTCTTGTCGGAATGAGCGTGAGGTTGAGAAGGCTTGCAGCATATGAACCAATATCACGACATATCACAACACTTTGCGGACGAACCTGAAAATTTCTCGTGCAAACACAGAAGGTCACCATGCAAACAAATGCAAATGCAAGAAAACGCAAATCTGCCTGCAATATCCTGCTATGATATATATATATATAAATACAACAAAAAATAAAAACAAAACCAAACAAATGGAACATAGTGGGGAGTGGGTGTCAAATCCGCAACGAGCTGCTGAAGCCCATTTGCAAACCAACAAAGATGACCATTGCATCATTCCGGCAAAGAAACAACACGTTCACCAACCATCACTTGAGACTAGCTGCGGCACTTCACCCATACCACTAGTGAGCACTCACCACCCGGTATGTTGAATTTATCTTTGGGGTTCATGGTTTGGGGCCGGGGGCAGTATCATGTGACCGGAACCGTTCGGCAGTTTTTGTCCACTGCCGACCCTTGGGCGGCCACCAGCCCATCGCATTCCTCAGCACACACGGCCGGCCATGCAAACAGACTGCAAACCATGGCCAGCTGGGAAACAAAAAACATAAACACATTTTACACCAGCAAAAAAAACCAAACAGTGTGGTGGTAGGAACTCAGTGTGCCAGATACAAACATCAGTAGCTATGGAACAGTAGCAGGTCAGGTTAGACGTTAGCGTAGCTGCAACAGCAAGAACTCGATAGGCACAAGAAGAGACACTATGTCTATTCATCACGGCCTCATACCAGAAACTCATACCAGGACATCTAATAGAATTTCAAAAAACTGTGCAAGAAGGACCTTCTATATATAGAGGATCTTACAAGATCTTCATACAAGAACTTCCTACTTGTATGGCAACTCTAATACATGGCATCTGCAAGATCTTCATGCACGGACGTCATACAGGATGTCAGCTGGATCTGATCCTTCCCAAGGTCTTCTCATACAGGAGGTCATCTGGTGCCTGTACACGATCATGCAAGGACCTCTTGCAGGAATTCACCAAGATCTTCACAGCATCTTCTCACAAGGACCTCTACAAGACCTGGTCAAGATCTTCATATTTTACGGACCTGTAAGACTGTACCATGAAACCCTTGCAAGATTGTCATAGGCTATAGGATCTGCCACTCCCAAAGAACTCATGAGATTTCCTTACCCAATTCTCAGAGAATCAGCTAAAATCAGCACCGCGCCACAACGAGAGGGATGCGCGAGCGACATCAAAATTCGCACCGCACCACAACGAGAGCGATCCAACACGCACAAAGTCACAAGAGGGTTGTGCGAGCGAGAGCCGGTATGGTCTCATGCGTCAGACCCGGGGTTCAATATTCGGACGCAACACCAGGCGGACAATGGGCCACTACCCCACCCCTGCAGTTAAGGGGATGAGCTAGAGTGTGGTCCGTAAAACACTCGCAGAGGGTTGCGCAAGCACATGTTAGATTTTCACGAAACATGAGCATTGAAAATGTCAAAAAAAAACGTTGTACCTAGGTTTCAGCAATTTTTTTGTCGGGGTCTACAAAGTACTGCGACTGCCATGAAAAATCAGCCCAAATGAGCCCGAGGCATCCGAAGTGCCGCACCTGCCACAAGGAATCAGCATCATGTCCAAAATCTTAAAATGACGACACTTTTTCACAAAACGAGACTTTTCGATCCTTTCAAAACGTCGTCCAAGTTCACGAAATATTGCGCCTGCCATGCAAAATGACTTCCAAAAGCACTTCTCACTTTCACCCGTACCACGCCGGCCATGCGAATGAAAAAGTATCCGATGTCTCGCACCTGTCACGCAAAACAGCGTTTTAGATCTCAAAAATGCCCCAAAAGTGCCACGCCCGCCACCAAAACTGGACATAGCTCAAACAACCAGCATCACGGCGCGCTAGTAAAACGACACCTTCGGGTCCTTCGGAGAACAGGGCAAAGCCAGCCACTTTGGCGAGCCTGCGCAATCGAAGTGGAGATGGACATCTCACCATCTCACAACGGAGCTTTTACACGAGAATTTACAGCGAAAAAGCCGGAGGCCAAATTGAGCACCCTGATCTAACCTCCATGGCTTTAACAGTTACAGTAAGAACCCCTCAGTGTGGACACACTGTTTTGGGCAGTAATTAAACACCAAGTCCTACGTGCACAAGTGCCACCACCAATCGCTGTTGTCGGGCAATAAACAACTTCAAGGCTCCCAGCAAATTCAAAGCACCACGGGCATGAGAAACACCAAATCCCGTCACGTTTGTTGCATTGCCGCTGCCAGCTGCGACGTCAGCCCTGAGGCAGACGGTGCAGAATAGGACGCAGACCTGAGCTCACGGGCCTGGGCTTGTGATGTTGCTATACCGTCTGGAAACGGTTTCGCGAAGCAAAAACTTACGCCGCCCGTAAAACGCCGGTATATTGTTGAGCGGTAACGGCCCGGAGCCAGCGGCATTGCGGCAAACACCATCACAAACACCTCTTGCGCCACTCACGCTTGCAGCATGCCATGCTAAATGCCATCATACTTTCATCCTGTTGTCAGGGCCAGCAACATCGCGCTTTGTCAGTCCAGTTTTGCTGTGTTCGTTACGCCCTCTACTGCTGTCAAAATCACCGACTGTCTGTCTCGAATTTGTCAATCAACGCTTCCCTAAAAACGCCTAACACTTTTCAGACGGCAGCTGGGTTGCCTCTTATAGGGGGTAAGTCCCTCTGAACAAATCATAGAACATGGCTCGGGAACATCTTGGATGTAGCGAATGCTGGTGCACAACACTGAACAACCCCCGATATACCCAAATATTGTGAGGATATACAGTCCAAGCGCTGTAAAGAATTCCTTGTATCAGAAAATGATGGGCTGGATTTTTTTGCCGCATATATGTTTCGAATATGTATGCAAATGGAAGTTAAGAAATCGAGGGGCCCTGGAATTTTAAAGGCTAAGAAATTTAGATATATGTGAAGGAGCCTCTTTGCGCCCCTGCTCAATTTTCTTAACCAGGACAGGGTTTAGAAGGATGCCATTTGGAGCGGGAAATGGGGCCAGCTCCACTGCAACCAAATACCCGCCAAAATGAACTTTGCACAACCATGGCATGGTTGGGAATGACAAGCAAGGGGGCAGGACCAACCCAAAGTCGAGCTATGGCACGATCACCAAGTCTGCTCGCAACAACTTCAGCAAGACACCAGCCAGACTCACTGTAGGTCGTCTGTGCCCTTGGCTCGTGTTGCCTTGGCTTGCCTTGCCTTGCCTTTCCTGTGCTTCCTTTGTTGCCACAGGGTAAGGGCTCAAATCAATACACAACTAAGAAATCCAGGCCTCAGTTTCTTAACCATGTAAGGGTTTATAAGAGCCGTGTAGAGGAGACGTCACCGGGTAAGGGTTCAGTTCAATACATAACTAAGAAATCCAGCCCCTCAATTTCTTAATCATGTAAGGGTTTGTAAGAGCTTTCTGTACTGGGTACTGTAACTGTTCCTTTGTGCCCAGGAGCCACTGGGAAGCGGCGCAAGGATGGCGGAGTCAAGCTCACGAAAGTAGCTGCGCAGAGGCAACCCTGCTCTTACATCTTCAAATCTTACTGCTTGTGAAATACTACATCAAGAAATTGCTAAGAAATTAAGGGACCCTCGACCGAATAATTGTACATATATACTGACATACATGGGGCCTTTCCGATAAGAAATTGAGGGACCCTGGTCATCGGCAACGAACATTCTTATATAACGCTCGCCCTGTAGTAGATTAGGATAGCTCAGTGCAGTCCCATACTTATGTGATTGCATTTGGGATTATATATTTGGGCATGTCAGCGCCCCAACGGTCCTAGGCTCTCTCTCTCTCTCTCTCTCTCTTCCTCTCTCCCTACCCTTTTTCTTGCAAGAAACAGAAGCTTCGGAGAACCATTGCTGGAAACTTTCTAGCTAATGCCAGGACGACCTGAAAGTCTACATTCCTGTGTTCCATCTGGAACTTTTGACATCAGTTGGCCTGAGTCCTGCAGTGTTGACATTGGGGGGCTTCTGGGCCCACGATGACCTGCTTCATGTTCACAAGAAGGACCCCAAAGTCAGAGCATATACTTCTGTCTTTGAGAGAGCGCACCACATTGAAGAATCGCACTAGTACTGCTATGCAGGTGTCATATTTGATTGACCACGCTGGTTAAGTAAGTATTTGACCCATGTATGCAAGATAGTATGTGTGCTAAGTATGGTGATAAGTGGGTTTTAAGTGGTCTTAAGTTGGTTCTAAAGTGAGCCTTGTGGCATATATGAGCTGCCCAACTTACAAAGTGGTTGTGTTAAGATAGTATGTTGTGTGTTTGAATCCTCGGGTTATGAATCTCAATACCATACTTATGGGTTGTAAACTCGAAGTTGTCTAATTGAGTTATATAGTCCACTTATGAGAGTCTGAGAGATATGTTTGGGTAACTATACCTTGCCGTAGAGATAGATGGACAGATAGATACACAAACAGATAGATAGACAGATAGATAGACAGACAGATAGATAGATAGATAAATAGACAGACAGACAGATAGACAAACAGATAGATAGACAGATAGATAGGCAAACAGATAGATAGACAGATAGATAGACAGATAGATAGACAAACAGATAGATAGACAGATAGATAGACAGATAGATAGGCAAACAGATAGATAGACAGATAGATAGACAGATAGATAGGCAAACAGATAGATAGACAGATAGATAGACAGATAGATAGACAGACAGATAGATAGACAAATAGATAGACAGACAGATAGATAGAACAAAGTTTTTTGGACCCCTTCGTCATCGGGCCATATCGTCGGCAAGGCCCACAAGTCGTCACAGCCGTAGATAATGTATATAACATACATATATAACTCCCTTCCATATCCTTCCATTCCCTTCCCAACATATCTGCCAGGCTACTGGCTCCAGCACCTTCCGTCGAATCATCAGCTCTTCTGGGGCACCTAAAACATCATCCAGGTCGCCCAAAGCGCAAAGCACTGGTTCATGCCTGGCGCGTGGTGGCAAATCACCGGTGGCGCACTGGACCAACGATGCATCGACCCTTGGCGCTATCAGCCTTGTTTGATGTTTTTTTCGCTGAATGACGTGGTGACTTTTTCGGCTTTGTAGGTCCCTGTATACTTGCATCCCTGAAGTGCCCCAGGAGAGCGCCTGTCATCCTCGACATACACTGCACGCCGGAGATGTTCAAGCACTGCCTTTAAAGCAGGTCCCTGGCTGCGCTTTTGGCTCTGAGATCCGCCAGTCGGTGACTCTCATTAGCAAACCACCCAGCATTGCAACACTTCACGGATATCGCATCGACATTCGATTTCAGAAAAAACGTACACCTAATATGCAACATGTAGTTCAAACACTTGAAATGTCCGCAATCATGCTGCATGTGGTAAACACATGTAAACCCAGTAATAAACCATCCCTAATCTTCCCATGCCACTCCAAATATCTCCAAATCAACCCCTTAAGCGGTCACCAATCGAACCTGGGTCGATTGCAGCACGGCGACCAGAGAGCTGGCCACAATGAGATTGGGACGCAGCTGGGCCACCTGCTCAGCAAACATGTGGTGACAGAAACCATGGAAGAAATGGAACAACACTTTACCCTCTGGTAAAGTACGTGTCACATGACTATGGAAAATCACTATTTTCAATAGGTAAATCAACTATAAATGGGCAATTTTCAGTAGCTATGTTAGTTTACCAGAGGGTACAAGGCGAGGTTCCCCCAGTTATAGATAGGTTTATTATGATGTTTGTGACACCCTTAACATCCGTTAGGCCCAGGAACCTGTCTAGGGCCCTCAACTGCTATCCACCCAGGTCCGACGCAGGTCCCAACCTCCATCTCGCCAAGCAGCTGCAGCGCCTGGTTCCAGCGCAAGCTCCTGCAGCACACCTCAGCGTCAAGGAATCCTCGCTTTCCTCCAGAAATGGGCGTTATATCCTAAAACTGCTGTTTGAACAGGGAACATGAATGAATATCACAATTATATAAAACTACCGTTTGAACAGGGAACATGACCCTGACCTTCCAACCACAAGGTTTAACGTTGTGGTTAGTCTAACCCCATGTCTTTACTTAACCCCATCATTCCACTGCCTATCACTACTGCCTTCCAAAGAGCAGAGGCAGAATCTTTGATTGCATCAAGAATGCAGAATAAACAATACCGGCCTTTAAGGAGTTCCAAAAAGTTCCCTTCCCTTCAGCTTGCCATTACTGAATCCTAAAGATAGTATCCATGAAGCACATGCTCCATAAAAAAGGTAGGGCGCAAAGTGTCACACCATATCTTCGATTTTGCAAAAACTTTAGTCAAACCATTATTTGAGTCTTGCACCCCAGTTTTTTGATGGTGTTCACGTGTTTTTCACGGTCGTTTCACGCACTGTTCACGTTATTTTCACGCACTTTTCACACTTCAAAATGGACCAAACAAATCGTTTAGAAAAAGAACGCTTCAGATTTTGCCATTTGCAAATGGATCTGACCTCTGGGCAGATTCGCGTTTTTCCTCTTATACCGCCTTTCCACCCACTCTTCATAGCAATACTTCTGCCCAAACTGCTTTGGGACTGAGCCAACACGGTTAGTCCATGTTAGTCCTCTCTGGATGTGAAACAGTTTGTGGCTAGATAGAACTGATTTTCTGCAGTCATCTAAAGACAAGGTTTAACGTTGTGTTTAGTAACCCCAGAGTTAAACGTTGTGGAGGAAGGTCAGGGTGATGAAAACCATGATAAACCAACGTTTTTTTGGGAATATCCCATTGTTGGACAAAACCATGTCAGCGAAAGGAGTCTTGGAACTAATGCAGCACGGAGCCCCACACCTCCACACACGAGCCGAAGGCGACGATATTGGGTTGTAGCAAGCCAGCTCGCATTCGCCACCTTAGAAGTGGTTTCAGCTGCTAGACCTGTATGGCCAGGCGCTTAGGGGTGGGCAAGCCACGCCTTTCACCGGCTCCACTGTGTTGTCATGTCAAAACTCCCATGCTGCAAGTGCTACTGATAGAGGAATTGGTGATTCACGGTGGTCTATCCTTTATACTAAGGAACAATATACTTGTTCTTTGGCAACATCCACTTACGGTAGTGCAGTTCCGAGGATTCCCCCCGCCATAGTTGGTCGATCCTTTTTGTGTGGCAAAACATTCTTCAACCGACTCCGGGCGTGGTTCAGTGCTCAAACTGCTTCTATGTTCCAGCCTTCCATCCCAATCTCAGTGCATATGAGCATGCGCGCATACAATATATATATATATATATACATACAGCATTATACAATATAGTTGTATATACCTACATGCAACTAAAGAAATATACTTATAGGTACTTGTCGAAGGAAGTTTTAGAAGTCAAACTCCCGACATTATTGACAGATGAAAAAGCAGAGGTGGGAAGAGCCAGAGAAGAGAAGAGAAGAGAAGAGAAAGAGTCAGAAGAAAGAGTCAGAAGAAAGAGTCAGAAGAAAGAGTCAGAAGAAAGAGTCAGAAGAACTTGTCAGAAGAAAGAGTCAGAAGAAAGAGTCGGAAGAAAGAGTCAGAAGAAAGAGTCAGAAGAAAGAAGATGCAGGTGCGCGAAAAGGTAGGAAAGTCGCGAATCACTGTGTTTTTCCAATGATTTGTGGCTCCGGAGGGTTGAAAAGTAGGCTCGCTAAAGCGGCGGGTGCGGAGCCACCTGGCCAGATGAGAGATTAAAAATTGCACGCCTTTGTGGCCCGAAGCACATTTCGAAGTCAAAATGCTTCAAAATGTACAAAACACAACATTCTCGGAGCACTTTTGGAAGTTTAGATGTTGAACAAGTGCACGCCGTTGTGGTGCGAAGCACATTTCGAAGTCAAAGGCGTTAAAAACTGACGGGGTCGGAGCACTTTTAGACGTTCAGATATCGTTTTGAGTGGCAGGCGCAAGGGATTGTGCACCTTGTCAAAAGTGAGTAAAACGCGCGGGTTTTGTAGCAGTTTGAAAAGCGTTGGCAGGCCTGGGGCATTTGAAGAGAATCTGCAAACATGCATTTTGCGTGGCAGGCGCAATACAGGAGACATGTTCATCAGAGATACAGCTTTCCATTTTTTAAGGAAGCCTCGCAGAATTGCTTCGTTTTTGATGTTGTCACCTTCGAAAATTGAGGAAGTCTCGCAGGATTGCTTTGAGGAAATCTCGCAGAATTGCTGCGCTTTTGACCCTCTCAACTTCGCAAGCTTGCAGATAGACAGATAGATAGATAGGTAGATAGATAGATAGGCAATTACAAGCACAACTACAATTACAACTGCAACAACCACTACCACTACATTACACTACTGATACAACTACAACTGCAAATATATTACGCTACATTAGACTGCACTACGCTAATTACACTGCACTACACAAATTAGGCTACACATGGCTACACTACACTAATTACACAACCACAACAGCAACAACAACAACTACTACAACTACTACCACCGTCCTACTACTACTACTACTGCTGCTACTACTACTACTACTGCTACTACTATTACTACTATTACTATTACTACTACCACTACCGCTACCACTACCGCTACCACTACCACTACCACTACCACTACCACTACCACTACTACTACTACGACGACGACGACGACGACTACTACTACTACAACTAGCACTACTACAACAACAACAACAACAACTACTACTACTACTACTACTAGCTTACTACTAGCTTACTACTAGCTTACTACTAGCTTACTACTAGCTTACTACTAGCTTACTACTAGCTTACTACTAGCTTACTACTAGCTTACTACTAGCTTACTACTAGCTTACTACTACCTTACTACTACCTTACTACTACCTTACTACTACCTTACTACTACCTTACTACTACCTTACTACTACCTTACTACTACCTTACTACTACCTTACTACTAGCTTACTACTAGCTTACTACTACCTTACTACTACCTTACTACTACCTTACTACTACCTTACTACTACCTTACTACTACCTTACTACTACCTTACTACTACCTTACTACTACAACTACAACAACAACACCAACACCAACACCAACAACAACAACAACAACAACAACTACTACTACTACTACTAATACAACAACAACTACTACTACTGCTACTACTACTACGACGACGACGACGACTACTACTACTACTACTACCACGACGACTACCACCACTACCACCACTACCACAGCTACAATTACATTTGCAACTGCGGTACAACTACACTACATTTCGCTCCGCTACACTAATTACACTACAGTACGCTACAAGTAAAACTACAAATGCAGCTGCAACTACTCTACCTAACACAACACTACACTACACTACACTAATTACATTACATTACATTGCACAACAACAACAACAACAACAACTACTACTACTACTACTACTACTACTACTACTACCTTACTACTACCTTACTACTACCTTACTACTACTACAACTACTACTTCTACTACTACTACTACTACTGCTACTACGTTACTACTACTACTACTACTACTACTACTACTACTACTACTACTACTACTCCTGCTACTACTACTACTACTACTAATACAACAACAACTACTACTACCACTACCACTACCACTACCCCTACCACTACCACTACCACTACTGCTACTACTACCACCACCACCACCACCACGGCTACCACCACTACCACCACTACCACAGCTACAATTACTTTTGCAACTGTGGTACAACTACACTACATTTCGCTCCGCTACACTAATTACACTACAGTACGCTACAAGTACAACTACACATGCAGCTACAACTACTCTACATTACACAACACTACAATACACCACACTAATTACATTACATTACACTACAACTACAACTGCAACAACAACTGCAACTACAAATGCAACTACAACTACACTACACTACACTAATTACACCACACTACAACGACAACTGCAGCTACAACTGCACTACTCTACACTATGCTAGACTACACTATACTATACCACAACAAAGACACTAGAGTACACTACACTACACTACGTTACCTTACACCACACCACAGCTACAACTACAACTCCATTACACCACACTACTACAACTACAACTGCATTACACCACACTACGTCCAGCAGTTGTGGGTGAGGTGACCGCTGCAGCCATTGTAACCACTCTAAAAAACACAACTCCAACCACCTTTTCGGTCCATCAGTGGATTCGCTCTGCCATCCATGCATCACAACAACTCACCTCTCCTACCTATATATAGTGTCCTATCTTTGAAACTTCCGCCACCGCCTTGTGGTTACTACTGGTAGATTTATCATGGTTTATCATTTAGTTTAGTTCATTCTATATAATTCTAAGATATTCTGGGTAAATTATAATATTTCACTAACCTGAATTAAGGCCATTTGGGGATGATTTCCCTTACTAACCATGATTACCAGTGAGGTCGTAGTGAGGTCGTTATAATTTACCCAGGATATTGGGAATCACCTTTCATCAACGAGGTGCAACAGGTCCATGGCATTTGGCCAACGAGCGCTCTCTTCGAAGCTGCTGATCACTGTACCATAGCCTTGGTTCCCCCGGCATCCTGGTGAGTCATGGGGGTACCCCCAAGACATCCAAAGTTAGATCATGTTAATTAGTATTGAAACATATTGAAACCATTGGTGACTTGGGAATCCCCCATTTTGAGACCCCTCCATATGAGTGTGGCATAGTATGGCAGCAGGGTCAAAACATCAAGCAGAAACAGAGTAGTTCAAGATGCTTGTTGCGATGTCAATTATCAAAATCCAACTATCAAAATCCAAATGTCACAAACAACAGAGTAGTTGATTCAAAATTATTCAAAATTATCCAATGATTCTGATGTTTGGTGACCTATCCCTCGCCGACAGCATGCGACAGCGTTCTGAATGACGAAACAGGGAATCACCGGAATCACCGACAGCAGGTGTTTCCACGTGAGAAATAGCAACCATGGAACATATTGTCACGCGCGCACACATGCAAATATATAGCTATATTATACTGTATATATATATATATAGTATAATATATATATATACATAGGCATATATAAATATGTGTATGTATATAATGTATACATATATATATATATATATATATATTTATAAGTAAGATATTATCAGAGTAGCAAAAGGTCATTCAACAACCAGCAAACAGAAGGAAGCAAACGAAAACATGGAGCTCTCCGTGCTGTTTCTCATGTCTGAAGGACTTCGCAGGTCACGTTGGTTCAAGTTTTCGTGAAACTGCGACCGTGGGATATGGATGCTGAGGGTTACTGTAACCGACAACTTGCACATAAGGAAGCGAGGTGTCCTATGCAACCTTCTGCAGTATAAAGAAAGGATGTCAAGGCCAAGGCATGTAAAGGCGTTTGTGGAAAGGTCTCCCCATCGTATATCTCCCTTTACCTAGCCCGCTTAGCTAGTGAGTTCAGCAAGGAATTTCTCAGCCCCAATCTTTCCAAATTTTCGGTCATGGCGCTGGTCACAGTGGGCTGAAGCTGCTTCTCCTCTGCTTGATTCAGCAAAAGCAGCGCCTGTTAAGGCTCAGCTGAAGTATGGGGAGCCTTGCCCTATTCATCTTGAAACATAATGCAATGATATGCAATGTATATACATGTATAATATATAATATATACTCTCCGGGTTTCTCAAGGCCAAAGCACATCCACCAGCTGATAATCCATCAGTTCCCCAAAACCTTTAAGGCATAGCCATTCAACCTTCTTTTCTATGAACCACACGAATGTGCAAAACTCGCCCAACCTCAAACTGCGAAGAAACCACTACTCAACCCCCCTCAAACATGCACCTGCGACCATTGCTGTGCTTTAGCACACGCGCTAGCTGTGGCATTGTATGCGACCAGGTCCTTCCAAGAGTCACAGAGAAACCAGTTCCCTCAAACATTGTCCAAACACTGAGCTTCATATTTCAAAACACCCGTTGCCAACCAACGCAATGACACATATGCCGCATATGCGATTGCGGAACATAAAATACGACATCTCCTCTGCATGACTGCTTAGTCTGTGCCATTCTCAACTTGAAGGGATCGTCAATCGTGCGCTTAAAACAAAAAACACCTACAGTGCCAGTCTCAAACATCTATCAAATATCTATCAAATCTATCACGTTGTGAGGAAAGCCAATTCGTTAGCCCCCCCCGCTCTCCATTTTGAAATTCTCTCTTGGGAATGTGGACGCAACACGATGATACAACCATATACAACCATATACAACCATATACAACCATATACAACCATATACAACCATATACAACCATATACAACCATATACAACCATATACAACCATATACAACCATATACAACCATATACAACAATGTTAACTCCTAACAGCTTCCTCCATTCACCACTGACTAGTCATTCTGGTCATTCCGGTCGTTCCTCTCCTGCTCTGGCATTGTGGTAAACATCTCCAGTGCCACCATCCATTGCGAAGCTTTTTCACAGGCCGAGATGGCTGCCTTGGTGGAAGTGAAATAGCAAAAGCCTACAGTTCAATATAACACAAAATGACACGTCTGGAGTGCCTCATGAAGCCTACTGTAATTGATTTCCCATACAAAATCAAAGACTGATTCAACACATCAAAATGCCCTAAGGTCCTTAAATCAACAGAAATGCCGTATGTTAAGAGTGTTTACCAGCTTTGGCTCATTGACGGACTTGTCGAAATGAAAGTCCCATGAAAAAAAAAAAACAGGGCCTCCCCAGAATCCAGAATCCCAGAATCACATCTCTGATCTGTCATTTCACTGTGGAGGTTTCCTAAAATGGTACCCTCAAAATCATCCATTTATATCCATTATAAATCTATAGCTGGATTTTCCATGAAACAAACCTGAGGTACCCCCATGGCTATGGGAATCCCATGGAATCCCCATCTCCAGTCGTCTCCAAGTCGGTCACCTACGGTCACCCCCCTTGCTGCTGAGCAACCGAAGAGGTGACCATATCACGTTGCGGCGCTTCTTGCAGCAAGAAGAGTGCTTCAGCCCAGCGCCCTGCCACAGAATTCTGCGTGCCCCATGAAAAAGCAAGATTAAAACAGCTCTTGATGATTCTTTAGGGCTATGAAACTATGAAACAGAAACCAAGTTGTTTCTTCTCTTCCAAGACCAAGTGATTTACATATAAATTCCAATCCGGGCACACCATATTTTCATGGTACCCATCACTCTGCCCATTGTACGTATGCCTTCACCCTTCTCACAAGCGCTGATGGCGGCTGCATAGGTCACCTTGCGGCTCAGAGCTCGTCAAATCCCGTGGAATGGTGACCCTGGGTCGATGAACGGATCCAAAAAATGCTTACTGTATGTGGATGATTATGTTCTCGGCTAAACATGTCAATATAACATAATAATACATCATATAACAAATGATAAAGCATTGTATACCAGGTGTACCACACCACAGGTTCAGTGGGTGGCTAACGAGGTCCAAGCAACCCATGAACCTCTCTATGGCAGCACTAGCCAACCACAGCATCCCCCCAACCATCAAGGAAAAGAGCAACCACCATGGTTTCGCGCCTGATTTGGATACAACTTTGCATCTTGCAAGTCACTCAGGAGAAACAAAGCCCATTGCCACTGAGCGCCTCTTGAGGGAACAAGCTGGTGACATCAATCCAAACCTTTGTCAAAAACCGGCACGATCCAAAATGATCCAAAATGGCCATATTCTTTCAGGGAAAAGGATCATCAACCATGGGATTTCAGGGGGACATAGGGGGACCATGGGGAACCCAATTGGCTTTTGGTATCTATTGGTTCAAGTATATGAAGCCTTCAAAGCCTCCACAAAACCCAAGGTGATCCAAGCTCATCGTGTCCGAAAATCGACTAAAATCGGCTGACTGTGATGGGACTTTTTTTGGGGGAGATCTGCATCTTGACTCGGTACCCTGCGGAAATCAAATGTGGCTAGCTGGAAAATCCCTGAACTCAATAGAGGTTTCTAGCTGGGAAACTCGTTAAAGCAGATGGGTCATTCTTCCAGCCAGCTACGTTTGATTACCAATGGCGTCTTGGCCTTTTGCACAGGCACTCATGGTTGCACTGTAGCTCACCTCGTTTTGCATGTTTTAAAGGATCCAGGTGAAGGGTAGTCTGAAGGGCCTAAGGGGATTTGTTTTGGATTACTTTCTTAAATTGCAGTGGCCTGTGATGGTTTTGCAAGGCCAAGTATCCAAGAAGGTTTTTGGGCCAACTCCATCCAACTTCAAAGAATCACAGTTCAGCGTAGCGGCTCTTGCATACTTAGAGAGAACTAGATCTCCCTGCAGGACTATATATTCATTCCACTTGCGTCCGCATCTGCCTATTGAACATTATTTCCACATCAGTTGCAGAAGGGGGGGCCAAAAAAAACAATTAAGGAAGAATATTGAGAACTAGAGTTGGTCATTCAGAACTAGAGTTGGGTCAAAGTTTCCAGCACGCTATGGATTTCTGTAGACGATGTCCCTTAAACCAAATAGTTCCAGCTGAGCATCGATGTTCTCGACGCAGCGTTGCTTCGCACTGCTGAGAGTGTCCAGAGCCTGACGCTCCGAGTTTGTCTGAGGTCTAAATGACATCCCCGTAAGGTTGAACTTCATATCGGTGAGGATCCTCAATGATGACTCCAACGCTCAATGCCTTTCTTGCATTTAGATGCTTCAAACGTAGACGTAGAGAAAGACTTGCTGGCAAGGAAGGAGATTCTGTCACCCCATACATTACACAGCGCAAGAAAAAGGCGTTCAGTTGGACTTGCACCACAATGAATTCAGGATGCATTATCTTAAGAACACGGCATTTGCTGCGAAATGCAGTGAAAGATAATTATATACAATTATATTATATATAATATATTATATATGAAGTAAGTTCCTGATGCTTGGCTTTCCGTGTCTCCACCCACAAATGCATCCTATCTCTCCACCACACCCTTGAGGCTTTGAAGGCACCTCCTCCCATCGATGACCCTTGTCGCAGGCGCTGAGGACTGAGTTGTACCTGAAAGCGTCCACCGGTCAGAGCAAGGGCAAAGAGGACCTTCGAATCCTTCGATCATCTTGGTCCTCGTGAGCTAGTGTTTGGAAATAAGTGGAAACTAGTTGAAAATGTTTCAACGAAAATACATGCCACTTGGACCATGATCCACAAAATGTGATTTTTTAAGACACACGAATGTTAAGCCAGCAGACTGGAACAGTCTGGAACGAAGAGAAAACAAATCAATCTTGGACTGTAAGGCGCAAACAAGTTCCGGCGTTTGGGATCTTTTGGTATTACTTCAATGGATGGGTTATGATGGGAAAATCTGCAGTAAACCATGGTTTTTAACCACCGTTTTTAGATATGTCTAAGTTGTTCCACTACATTTTCCCATCCAATTTTGGGATATGTGCAACTGTCAACAAAGTCATTGCCAAAGGTACAGGATTCCATCCAGCTTCACTCGGCTTTTGGCGATGACCTGCCACCGCCCAGCACTCCGATTAGTGAGCCAACCTGAGCCCATCCCTATCCCATGCCGTAATAGTTGGTTGATAGGCTTCCAGTTACAGTAGTTCTGGGCAACAATTATTCCCATTCAAATCCATTAATCATTAAACCAGGTATGTTGACAACCCCCTATTTCATAATCCATGAACCGTCATGTATCAGTTGTATCCCCGTTTCTAAAACAAACATAATTTTGTTGGATTTTCATGTCCCTTGTCCTCCAATCAAGAAACAAGTTATTTTATATACCATTTTATATATCGCCAAACTACAGCTGGTTCATGTGGTTTCAACACATCATAAGCCCAATGAACCATAATGACAATCTTCCGTTATAAATATCCCATGCTATACATGTATACAACCCTGAAGATAGCAAACAAAAACAATAATGACATGTACCAATATGCCATGACCCCCACTATAGATATCCTAGCCACCACGCCAAATCATCATAGAATATCCACATCATAGGTGTCCGGCCCCAAAAATCACCAGTAAGATACCCTGTAGAGATACAGTACCCACAAGAAGATATCCCATAATCCCGGATGTAGGTATCCCATAAAATATCCCAATCAAATATTCCCAAATATATATATTACAAAATATCTCATAATCCCTGCCATGGGCCACAGATATCCCATGTCATGTATTGACACAATATACTGTAGTTGGCTGTATCCCCATCAAAAACAATGATAATCCATCATCAGCCATTATAAAAAATATCCAATACATACCCAATACCCCAAAGTAAATTACAAGTATCCACAATAAAATATGACATAATGTTTTACATTTAATATATATATATATATGTATACACCCCCAAGGAAATATGTTATAAAATCCACTATATTTTCATATTTCAATATTACCATGAAAGTTGTTTTCATAACTGACATTTTATCTTGTAGGTTCCCACTGGGTAAATTATGGCAATTCACTGACCTCAAAAAAGGAAATATTGGGATAATTCCCCAAATCCTATCAATTCCAGTGAGGTCGCGCTGAGGTCGTGATAAGTTACGCAGACCAAATCAATGACTTCAGTCAAAAAAAAACCATGTTTGACCATCTTTGATTTCCCTGTCCCATGGTTCTTGGGGATGGTTCTCAGGTATCCCATTGAATCATTTTGCCATTCATATTCCATTCATGACCCATCGAACCCTTAGCCTTATCCCATTCACATTCCTATTAAAAAATTGTGACTGTCCAGTTCGCAAACTGTTAGTTTGCCAGAGGCTATGCTTCTCAGATGCATCCCCATATCAATTTTTGAATCATTGAACCATTGAATCATTATCCCATTGAACCATTGAAACATTATCCCATTGAACTATTGGATCATTGTCCCATTGAACCATTGAAACATTGTCCCATTGAACCATTGAATCATTGTCCCCTTGAACCATTGAATCATTGAACCATTGAAACATTGTCCCATTGAACCATTGAATCATTGTCCCAGTGAACCATTGAATCATTGTCCCATTGAACCATTGTCCCATTGAAACATTGAAACATTGAATCATTCTCCCATTGAACCATTGAATCATTGTCCCATTGAACCATTGAACCATTGTCCCATTGAACCATTGAATGATTGTCCCATTGAACCATTGAAACATTGTCCCATTGAACCATTGGATCATTGTCCCATTGAACCATTGAATCATTGTCCCATTGAACCATCGAGTCATTGTCCCATTGAACCATTGAATCATTGTCCCATTGAACCATTGAATCATTGTCCCTTTGAAAAATTGAATCATTGTCCCATTGAACCATTGAATCATTGTCCCATTGAACCATTGAATCATTGTCCCATTGAACCATTGAATCATTGTCCCATTGAAGCATTGAATCATTGTCCCATTGAACCCTTGAATCATTGCCCCGTTGAACCATTGAATCATTGTCCCATTGAACCATTGAATCACTGTCCCATTGAACCATTGAACCATTATCCCATTGAACCACTGAATCATTGTCCCATTGAACCATTGAATCACTGTCCCATTGAACCATTGAGTCATTGTCCCATTGAACCATTGAATCATTGAATCATGTCTCATTGAACCATTGAATCATTGTCCCATTGGACCATTGAATCATTATCCCATTGAACCATTGAATCATTATCCCATTGAACCATTGAATCATTGTCCCATTGAACCATTGAATCATTGTCCCATTGAACCATTGAACCATTGTTCCATTGAACCATTGAATCATTGTCCCATTGAACCATTGAATCATTGTCCCATTGAACCATTGAATCATTGTCACATTGAACCATTGAATCATTGTCCCATTGAACCATTGAATCATTGTCCCATTGAAGCATTGAATCATTGTCCCATTGAACCCTTGAATCATTGCCCCGTTGACCCATTGAATCATTGTCCCATTGAACCATTGAATCATTGTCCCATTGAACCATTGAATCATTGTCCCATTGAACCATTAATGTTGTCTGACCAATAGTGATACCTATTCAATAGTAGAAACATTTTCCCGGAACTCCAGTTTTATCTCCAATACTAAAAGTCAATTAGCTCCATTTACTTTTAGTATTGCCAAAAGAGTCATGTTCAGACCTTGTCCAGAAGGCATGGCCAATAGTAGACCCAACATGGCAATAGTGGAAACTTTTTTCCCCAACTCCAATTTTTTCCCCAATACTAAAAGTCAATTAGCTCTATTTACTTTTAGTATTGCCAAAAGAGTCAAGTAAAGCAAATCCTTTTCAAAGCAGCCTTCACTTTTGATTAGCAAAAGCTTAGATTCCAGAAATCTGATCCAATTACCAAACAGCTGATTTCCTTATAAACCCCTTATTAAAAAAAGCAAGAAAACAGGTCCACAAAGGGTACCCCCTTTGCAAGCCCCAGAATAGCAATAACAAACCTGCACCAGGCATGGCAATAGTGGAAACTGTTTTCCGCAACTCCAATTTTGTTGTCCTCCTTCTCCTTCTCCTTCTTCTCCTTCTTCTCCTCCTCCTCCTCGTCCTCCTCCTTCGCCTCCACCACCTCTGCCCCCACTTCCATGTCCACTTCTGCCTTGCCAACTCTTCGCCAATCTCTTCGCCAACTTCTGCGCGCAGTGGGCACTGCTGGTCATGGAGAATCTATCAGATACATATCATGATCCCAGCCATAAGGTTCCAAAAATTTACTATTGGAATGCTGACCACCCCTAAATTTGTTAAAATAATTATTTTATTTAGGGAGGGGGGTTTTACTATTAGGCAGCCTACATTACATTACATATCATTACTCCATTAGATGGTTTCATAACACCCCCACCATCCTTTCCAGTGCCTGCAGTAGCTCCAAGGCCTCCGGCCACTTGGCCGCCGTCTCACAGGCGCGCACCGCAGCGCTGTAGAGCACCACGAGGCCGCCGTGGTCTCGGCCTTGGAGCGGCTGCTGGGGTTGAAACCACCAGAGTTTGCTGGAAAAAACGGGAAAAAAACCCTGTTTGGATGGTTTTCAATGAGCAAAAACCAGCAATAAAAACGTAACCCATGGTTTTTCTGCAGATGTTTCTTGAAACAAAGAACTGATATGGTTTGATGATGGCTTAGTAAGGAATACTTTGGCATGTGTCTTTTATATCGGAAAATGGTTTCCCAGATCCAACAAAAATGGTGAAATATAAATAGAATGTGGCAAAACCTATGCATAAAACCTCCAAATTGGAGATGGAGTTGATACCATCCATTTCTGATAAACTTGGGGTTTGTCTTCAAATCCACAAAAACCTCTAGGCCTGGAATGCAGCACATGTTTTCATGGCAACCTTCGTCACTTCGTCATATTCCGAAATGGGAAGCTGTTCAAACTCCTACCGCAGAATGGAGAAATCTTCATGTACCGGTACATTATACTTGGAAGTGCAGTTCCACTTATGAGTGGATATATATATATATAACTATATATATATATATAACCATGTTTATGTATATATATATAATTAACACATCAGGGTAAGGGTTATATCCCAACCTATGGGGTTGATAACCATGGTTATACCCAAATAACCCCTCCTGTCCAACCCCACCCCCCACCTCGCTGTGGGCGGCCCCTGATGGCTCGAACGCCATGGAACAGCTCCAGAGCCTTCAGCCACTGTGCTGCTGCCACACAGGCACTGACCGCCGTGCCGTAGGACACCAAGTTGGGCTGAGGCAATGCTAAGAAGCTTCGAAGCGGCAGAAAGAAAAGAAAACCTCTGGGATTCAATTCAAATATCAAACATATTATATATATACACGTATATATATATATATGTGTGTGTGTGTGTGAGCTATATAGTAATTATCTATTTTATTTTGATGGGCATCATCTACGCCAAATTGAAAATCAAACAAATGTTCGATCTTTAGTCAGTTCTATGACGATCTATGTATTGATGGGTGATGGGGGGTTCGGGATGGGTAATGAGGATGAGGATGAGGACGATGTTTTTGTGGAAATCGTCAAGTCTGGATATCTGGAAAAGTTGGAAATGTCACGAAAATCAAAGCATATAAAACATGTACTTTGAAGTATGTACACCATCAGGAACCTACTAATCATCTTGAACGCACCTGCAAGCTCCTGCCAGTGGCTTCGGACAGCAAGGCAACCGCTCTGCACCTAGGAGGGAACTCCGGCACAGCCGGAGACAAAGGCCAGGTTGGGATGGATGGGGCCAGGGAATTCTGAGAGCTTGAACTGGAAATAATTGCAACCATTTCTGCCGAGGTTTTCCTCACTTCTGGAAATGCAACCGCGCTTCAAATGAAGGTTGTCCCCTTTGAAGCAGTTGGGAAGCTCCACAAACACACCGAAAAACCGACATGAAGCACCCCAGGCCATGCCAGGTTACCATTCGTAGGCCCGCTTCATGGTCTCTATGGTGGCATTGAAGCTGACGATGGTGGGGTCTAAGGACCAATGCCTCACCTGGGTTCGAGGAACTTCCCGTTCTCCCAGAGGCATGGAGGAAACGAAACTCAGCAAAAAACGAATCCGGTAGAGCTGGGTCAATTTGGGTATGGAACGGTGGGCCTCACAAAAGTTGCCTCCTACAAACTAAGTCAAATTGGATGGCCAAGGACTCCAAAATCATATTGCACAAGCGTTTTAAACATCTAGAGTTTCTTGACTGCTATGACGTGTGAATACGTTTGTGCAATCAAAGGCGGTAAGCAATGATGCTGGCAGTTTCGCACAAAAACTGTATGTATATATGCTATACACATAATGGCACATGTATACTGTATGCGCCAACATTTGATATGTAAATAATTTTCGAATCGTTATCGACGAAGGAAGTTTAGAACCCAAACTTCCGACAATATGGACAGATGGAAAAGAAGAGGTGGGGAGAGTCAGCGAACAGAAGAGCAGAAGAGAAACGATCAGAGAAGAGAAAGAGTGAGAAGAAAGAAGATGCCTGCGCGCGACAAGGTAGCAAAGTCGCGAAACACCGTGTTTCCAATGGTTTGCGGCTCAAAAAGTAGGCTCGCTAAAGCGGCGGGTGCGGAGCCATGTAGCCAGATGAGAGATGAAAATTTGCGCGCCGCTGTGGTGCGAAGCAGAGTTCCAAGCCAAAATGTACAAAACACACCATGCTCGCAGCACTTTTGGACGTTCAGATGCGTTTCGCAAGGCAGGCGCAAGGGATTGTGCACCTTGTCAAAACGAGCAAACGATGCAAGTTTTCTAGCATTTCCAAACACGATGGCAGGCGTGGGACATTTGCAGAGGATCTGGAAAGATGCATTTTCCAAATCAGGCGCAGGTGTACAAAAGACATGTTCATCAGAGATGTTAGGAGGCCAGGGCGCTGATTTCCTGAGAGGGGTTGCAGTTTGGAGCATTAGATCTTCAGTTTCGGGAGGCCGTCAGCTCTGCACTCAACTTTCCACTATTGAAGGAAGTCTCGCAGAATTGCTTCGTTTGTGATGTTGCCAACTTCAAAAATTGAGGATGTCTCGAAGATTTGCTTCCTTTTTGGCTTTTTGACGTTATCAAATTCAAAAGTTGAGGAAGTCTCGCAGAATGGCTTCATTTTCAGAATTGCAGATAGACAGATAGATAGTTAGCTAGATAGATAGACAACGACAACTACAAGAACAACTACCACTACACTACACTACTACTACTACTACTACCACTACCACTACCACTACTACTACTACTACTACTACTACTACTACTACTACTACTACTACTACTACAGCTACAAATGCACATAAAACCATTACACTACACTACACTATTCACATCTATTTACACTACACTACACTAATTGCATTACAACTACAACAACTACGACTACCACAGCTACAACAACAATATCAACTACACCACGTTGCACTGCACTGCACAAATTACACTGCAACACACTACATTACACTACACTACACTAATTACACCACAACTACAACTACAACTTCGACTACGCTACACATATTACACATTCAACTACTACTCCACTACACCACACTGCAATTACAACTACAACTGCGCCACACCACACTACATCCAGCAGTTGTGGGTGAGGTGACCACTGCAACCATTGCAACCACATTAAAAAACACAACTTCAACCACCTTTCGGTCCATCAGTGGATTCGCTCTGCCATCCGTGATTCACAACAACCAACCTCTCCTATAGGTGTCCTATTTTTGAAACTCCCGCCACCGCCTTGCTACGGGTATAACCAATATTCTTCTCACTACCTTGTTGTTATTATTATTAGTTACTATTATCATTTGCCAATAAAAAATGAAATCTATACACATAATTGTGTATAAAACTATATATATTATATATTAAATTATACTAATACAACACACAAGATCATTTGTTCCAATTCCCCAGTTCCCGACCTTCTGCAGCCATGCCATGGCTTGGGGCCAGGCCATGGCACCCAAACAGGCGTTGAAGCTGGCAATGTCGAAACGGTCCTGGCCATCGCCATTTTCGTCACGGGCGGATGACAGCACCTGGTCCAAGGCGACCAGGTGAAGACCATGGCGAAGACCATGAACAATATAGGAATATATAGGAATATAATATATAGGAATGAATGTGGGCTGACTATAGGAATATCGAAGGTCAGGAGACCAATGACATCCAATGACAATTCCGCGGATGGAATTAACTTTGATGATGAATCAGTTGAACCCAAGCGTAAGGGATCCCCATTTTGGAGCTAACGAAGTGGCCCCATCCTGGCATTTGATCACATACTGCCTAAAAACATTGTGACAGCACTGAAAACATGTTTGGATCCCTTTTCACTGGAACTGGCCATTCTTGAGTTCATTGATTCCTGGTGGCATTCCATCATCATAAGAAAATATGTACACTGTATATACATTCCATTCATTTGGGGGTGCTACAGGTACGTAGATACACATTCGAACACACCACCCTATATGGAGGTTTCCATAAATGGGGGATCCCCAAAATGGACGGTTTATAGTAGAAAATCCAATTAAAATTGATGATTTAGTACCCCCATTTCGGAAACCTCCATATCAGCCAGTCTCTGTCAAACCAGCACCTCTTGCGCCATCTGCCATTGCCGCTGCCGCGCACAAGCACCGACCGCAGCTGTGGTCTCTGCTGGGCTTGGCCTTGGAAATGGCTTATCTCAGAAAATGGGACCATTGGTTCCACGAAGTTTAGAACAACCCAAACAGGGGATTAGAACGTGAGGTGTGCCCTCCAACTACTATGACTTGTTTCGAGCAGGGAAAGCTCGTTTCCAATAAATGCGGTCCCGGTGTCTGTGGCAAGTTTGGCCCAGAGAAACCATGGAACTCCAGCCCTCCCCAGACGCAGTACGCAGCCGAGAAACGAAGCAAGGGAATAGTAATGAAGCAAAGCCTCCTGCCATTCGCCTGTGCAGAGCTGACCTTTGCCATTCCCGTGGAAGTCCTTTGAAACCAACAAGATATGATTCACAGAAATTGCCTAAAGGTGATGCAAAAAAAAACCGGCGAATCAAATCAATTCACAATATTGAATCGTGAATATCCCACTTACATCATTTAACATCCCCATTAGCCTCCCCATAAAAACATCCATTAATATCCATCAATCTCTAAATGATTGGTGGGTGTACCTTTGGGGGCAGCACCGGCCTGCTAAGCGCGCCCGGTAAGCTCTCAGTTTCGCAGCCATGGCACGGCGCCATGGCGGACAGGAGCGGGTGCCCACACAATCAGTTCATCTCTTGGCGGTATACCCAAGTTACCCTCTGGTAAATTAACATAGACCCTGGCAGATAGGGGTTGGAAGACTAGTTTCCATTAAAAATTGGTGATTTTCAGGGTCTATGTTTATTTACCAGAGGGTAAGCCACCCATTTCTGGAATCATTGGTATCTGGTAGCTGGCTTGGCTTGGCATTTTTGCATTCTATGCTAATATCAGTAACGGAACATCTTGAACATCTGCACTGCATAATTGACAGAATCAGATCTCCAAGACCCCCATGTCATAGATGCCTCCGTTCAAACTCAAGTGTCAGTCAGGAAAAAGCTCACCATGGATGCATCCTCTGGTGTTGGGAAGGAAGTTCTGATCCTGCCCCATTCCTCCTGGGGTAGTTCCAGTTGCAAGTGGATAAACAATCATATTTATATCGTGTTATATCCTAACTTGCGAAGGTTATCACTGCACAGTTGAAGTTCTCTGTCTCTCTCTCTCTCTCCCTCTCCCTCTGCCCAAATGTATTTAGCCCAACTCCACCAACAAGTTTGGTTTGCAGTTCCCAAGGCACAGCAGTCTTCATCAACTTTTCCATGCGCTTGTCCTGGCAACAAAGGGCTTGCAGCTCGCACTCTGAGACTGGTCAAAGAAATTGGTACGCTTTGAAGTGAATTTCCAGGTGTGAATCTTGTTTTGGGGCACGGGATCCTCAAGGAAGGGACAGGAGCGGTTGCTGGGTATGTTTCTGAACAAAGCAAACCGGTAAGATCCACCAAGCACAACGACACCAAAGAGTAGCGGCAATTGAACGTATGCAGGGGCCACCCGGATCCATTTGGGTATGTCTGCAACCATGGTTGGTTCAACCTTTCCATCTGCCCCCTTCTGCCTCTTCCAAAAAGAGCGGTGTTCCACGGCCCGACTTCACCGAAATGACTTTGCCCGCGGGCCTGGGTAGTGGATGACTACGCGAACCAAGGGTTCCACCAAGGATCGGATGCTGAGTGATTTCGGGATGATCGGAACATATTCGAACATATAGGGGTTTAATGGAAAATCCTATTAAAATGGATGATTTAGGGGTACCCAACCCCTATTTCAGGAAACCGCCATATTGGAACATTGAAACGGCAACTCTTCGACAGTCACTTTTTTTTTACAGACAAGAGTGTCTGACGTTCATCAGGGAGTGAGTGTGATTTGGAATCTGGAATCACAATGAATCACATCGTTTTGGATGCTTGTGGTCAGCAGAACCATGATGAACCATGTAGGTGAAAGCGGGCAATTGGCAATCCATCTCACCTCTGTACCTACCCTCTGGTAATTTAACATAGCTATTGAACATTGCCATTTATAGTTGATTTTCCCATAAAAAATGGTGGTTTTCCATAGTTATGTGACAGTTTACCAGAGGGTAACCCAGTGGAAGTTCTGCGCCTCTGAAACTGCGCCGAGGTTCAAGCAAGGCTGCATCACCAAGCCTTCGTGCAGCTCACGCCCAGTTTGATGTTGCTGTAGTTGATGGCTTTTGATTGTTGTTTGTTGCCTTGCTCATACCATTAATTCTTAGCATTGGTAACTTTGCGCCTCTGAACAAATGCCAGCTTCTTTGGGTTTGTTCAAAGGTAGCGTTCCCTTTTCCACACTAGAATGGCCATAAGATACGGTATTCTGGGCAAACCCATGTCAATTATTGGCAAAATCCCCAGTCCCAGATTGGTGATGGTTATATATCATGTTAAATGATATTGATTTTAAAACATGTTAAATGCCTATTTGAAATTGGTTTATATAATCCCTATTGTTGATGAACCCCTTTTTTGTTGGTTTCTGATGGTGACATCCCAATTTTGGATGGTCAAATCGCAAGCATATCACAACTATGCATGGTAAAATTGATTTCCTCATTTCCTCACGGTGACATCCCCCATTGTTCATAGTGAATTTAAATCATTTCTGGTGGTTTCTGTTCATTAAATAAGCCTCTGCCGAAACAGCCCAAAGCAGTGCACCTTGTCGCTGACCCACTGGTGTGACCACCGGGCCAGCGGCGATGCATCTCTCAACACCGGGCACCTACTACGTGGCTCAATCATGGCGAATCCAGGGGGTGGCAAATGATCTCATCCCCAATCTAGCCCTTTGGAGAAAAATGCTGTACAGCGGCTGGTTGGGGCTGCCATTTATCATCATTTTGCTACTGGTTGTTCCTAGGTATGGGTCAACATTATATTGGTCTCAAACAGTAGGTGGTTTAATATGACTACGGATCAAGATTGGGTACCCCAATATTAGATGGCTAATACTAAACATACACTAAACAATCATCACTTTAACAAAGCTATTGAAACTTGTCATTTATAGTTATAGTTGATTTGCCTTTTAAAAATGGTGATGTTCATTAATTTTCCATAGCTATGTTGGTTTATCAAAGTGTAAACATCACCAACTCCCTTAACTTTACCCCTCATGTGGAACTCCACCTGTGCGTCGCTCAACAGCTTCACCACCTGCTGCTCTCGAGCAAATGTTCCTTGGACGAGGCCACGAATTTATAGGGACCAAGGGGTTTCCTAAATCATGGGGGTACTCCCAAATCATCCATGAAATAAGACCATAATTTCATCTACAATTTCATCAAAATGTTGAGCATAGGTTAACCTATGGTGAACTTGGGGGTCCCCCATGGAAAAGTAACCCCTCATGTAGTTTGATGTAGATATCTGACATGTACTGTAATTGATGTAGCTGCATGTTTGGATGACGTTGCTTACAATTTCACAAAAACAAGAACGAGCACATGCTGCAAAATGCTGCAAACATTTTATAACGCCTGGGACACCAAACCCCATTGTTCAATTCTTCTTTGCAGGACGAAAAATAATAACATATCACTTGATCTGACGTTTAGCTTTGGATAAGTTCCCCTTATTGTTGTGCGCCTGAAAATAGCACACTTTGCATCACATTGCTCGAACTAGACTTTCTATCTGACTTCGAGACACCTAGGCTCGATTTCAACCAGAAAATCAGCAATTCAAGGCCTTTTGTTTTCAACCATCTAACTATATACCCAAACTTGGGATGTCAATTTAGCACTCCTTGTATCATGCGAGTTTGGGTGATTTTCTTTGCCAACATTTTTCAACCATCAATTGAATTCAAATTACCCAAATATTTCCTCGGTTTTATTTACCCTCCGGTAATTCAACATAGCCATGGAAGAAGGACCATTTCTGGATGTGGAGGGATGATTTACCATTACTTATTAAATTGTTTCTCAATTTAACATAGCGATTTTCCATGGCTATGTTAAATAACCCTAGGCTAATTCCGAGCACAAACCTGCCCCTCTGATCGCCATGCTGCCCTTGGCGTAGTCATCGTTGCGCCGGCTGATCTTCACAGCGACCAAACCCTTGCCCGGCAGATCTGCTTGGTAGACTTCGCCCTGAACTCCTAGAGGGTAATAAGTGTCGGAATTAACACATGTGCATGTTGAAATAGAATGATATACCGTACATAGTACAATGTACTCATAATTAATATATATACAATGGCACACGCGCACACACACAAACATATATACCAGCGCGTTATGATTTTTGAGACCATCATGTTTTCCCGTTGTATGTATATATATATATATATATCGTAACCCATGAGTGCATCGCCTTCCTATGAGTGGGGAAACTAATCAAAGGGTGTCAACTATGATGCCGCTATCAAAAACTGGGGGTAACCAAATCTGAACATGTATGAAGTTTAAGTGAGCCAGCCAACAACCAGAAAAAACTCCTTTGATGACCAAGGGAAGCGGTAATTGGAAGAATGGTCGCTACATGCCTAGATACCAACACAAGCATGAAGTTATGAAGTTTGTACCACATGCACATGGGAATCTACTGTGAAACCGCTGTTGAAGAACCTATATACTACAACCTACTGCATTAAGAACTTCAGGGGCTGGATTTCTGGATTCAACCCTTTCTGTCAACTAGTCGAAACAAGAACCCTACATTGCCTAGAATTCTCGCCAATAGTTCTTATTTACCTTTTCCAGGTTTAGTTCATGGTATGTGATGGTTGAGTTATTCTCTAAAACCTGGAACAGGTCAAGATCTACGCCACCAAAAAGTCCCAAAGCTGCACTATTAATATTCAATCACAACTGTATATACATGTGTATATATATATAATTATATATATTTATGTATATCATATATACGTATGTATATATATAATTATATATATATATATTAAAAGGGCATATTGTGTCGGTGCTTCTGATTCCGCAGCCTCTCTTCCACCTGGCCAGGGCGCGGCTCAAAACAGCTTTCAAAACGGAGGCATGTGAGTTCTTGTGAATTATTGACTTGCATCATTAAGCAGGTAAATTCAATCACTCTGGGCTCAAGCGGCCCGACTGGAAAACTTTCGGGGCCAAAAAGTTGCTTCCAAACCAACATGCTCGATGGTGTCCGCAAAACCCTCCAAACAAACATTGGGGACTGCAAACCCAAGCCAGCTTGTTCCAAAGGATCCCCATTGAATAGTTAGTATTGCAAAACTTTCGGAGCCTCAAAAGTTTCCAAACCAAGGGCTTGACATGGCGTCTTAATAGACGTCCACAAGTGTTGAGCGTGTCGAACATGAAAAAAAATAAGGTGCTATATAAACGTTTTTTCTTGCTCTCAGCAACCCAAAACCATAGCAAACCCAAAGACCCACAACAACTCTCCCTGCCTTGGCTTGTCCTCCTCTTCTTCGGCTCTTTGCTGCTTCCAAATCTTTCTGCTGGAGGCACTGTATATACCGAATACGAAATGAAGAACGAAAAAACATCATCATATGTACCTCTTAAGAACTAAGCCCTTAAGAACTTGAGGGCACCCTCGTTCACAATCCCCATATTTCTCCGCGTATAGCACTTAGGAACCCCAGGGTAGGCTGCAAAAGTCTTATTCGGTTCTTCTCCAACAGTTCCGCTGTACCCTCCTGGGACCCCCCATGCCCTGAATTGCCTCGCCTCCGCCCAAGAATCGAGGATTCTCGAGATCCAGACCACCACACGAGAAGTCTTTATTCAGCTGCATCTTCAGATCATCTTCCTGCAAGTCCAGAAGTGATCCATGGGCCGAGTTGGCTTACGGGGCTGAGAAAATTGCTTGTGAGGTCATTGTTGGCAACGTTGGCTAGTGCATTTGCATAGATTCTTGAAATTGAGGAAATTTGGCCAGTGAAAGATCATGTGCAGCAAGTTAAACTGTCAAGTTGCTATGATGAGTTGTGCCCTGATTTGGGTATGGGCACAGAATGGCACAGATTAGGTACCTAACATCGTGAAATGGTGTATACATGTCTATGCTATGCTACTAAAAACGGATCCCAAATTGCCACAAAATCATCCAACATCTGTTGTTCCATGTTGTTCCTAGGGTCTTAAGGTTCGACTTATCCCTATGTTGCTCCGCATTCTCCCTGATGGTGATCCAGTCATCCCTTCTTGCCACAGGACAGCTCGGCAGCGTCGACTCCCGGCAAATAAGGCAGCACCGGTAGCCCCAAGTAGTTGCAGGAAGTTCGAACGTCCAATCCTGCCATCCGGGCTTGTCTGAAAATATCTGTTACACAAATTATCGTTAGGCATCATCACTTTCACAGGTCCGGTTCTATACAGATCATTCATGGATTCAAAGTTGAAACTGTCTGGAAGCCAGAGTTCTGCTCAAATATGGTTGAACGTGACCATCATCCATCATCCCAAAAAGGACCGGGCAACAAGCCGTTGAAAACCGCTACATCCGCAACACCAAGATATCTCCATCATGATCCAACGGCATCCCGCACCTTCGGTCTGATGGATCACAAGCACTTCTTGGCTTCAGTAGTGTCGATGCGGGCCTTCTGAGGGCTTCACTGGGGATTTTTTGGGGCAGTGAATGGGCACCGATCTTCGGGACTTTTTTTTACATACTGTCATCAATACAAAGCACAAAAAGCAACCAGTTAAACCAGTTCGATCAAACTACATAACCAAAATATACAAGAATCACGATGCTAGCCGCTAGCCCCATGTTTTTCTGGATGGAAGATGATGGAACTAATTCAACTTAGCTCGGGAATCCTTGGGCGGACCCTCAGCTTCCACGCCTCGTCAGCCGCGCTGACGCCAAGGCAGGTCGCCATGGCGCATCAAGACTCATGGTGCTCTGCAGTGCTCTGGAGCTTTGTCACCAGAGCAAGTGCCAAATAAACATGTCGGCATATCTCTCATAATCTTGAACAATTGCCGATTCTTGCATCACTTCAATTGTTTTTTTTTTGTTTGATCATGGTAAAACATCTGCTGAAACTTCCCCGCAGTTCTTGGGATCCGCTCCAAGGGTTCACTCATGACTTCTCTGGATCTGAGTCCTGGTTGAAAACTGAGGCAGCGGGCAGCTGAACATGTCAGGAGCAAAACTAATGGCAATAGTATTTGGTTGGAAGATAATGAAAATGGAAAACCACTGGATCCATAATTTAATATCTGGACACCCCTTCTTAATGGAATTGCTAGTGCTAGTGGGATGACCAATGCTTCGGCTGTCAGGGCCGTCGGGAGGATGGGATCAGAAACCGATACTGATGATGATTAGTCCATGGATTGGTTTATGGGAAGATCTACAGGAAACCAGGGATTCCTGTAGATTCTCACCATACCCATTCTACTGATATGATTATCTCATATTACTTTTTTATGATTGTTGGATATTGTTGGCCTCTTGATGTGATACTCAAGTTGCCCGAGCGGGCCTTTTCTGTTTGGCCGTTCACGCCGCGGGATGCCCCACTTCCTCCCTGCCCCAGGTACGTGCATGTGTTCGCCAGATGATTTATCCATGAAATACATACAGACTATAAATTGTTAAATAGAAATCGTGGTTTGGGGACCCATGCAGGAGAAGATTTTAATGGTTTCAGACAGTCCTAAAAATAGTTCACACACACACACACTGAGGAAAACCATGCGTAATTCATGGCTTAGGATTTCAGATTTTAAAGCTCATGGATGTTGCTCATGTTTGGCAGTGAAGATTTGAGATATGTTGCTTTCCAATTTTCAAGAGTCTGAAGACTGTATCCCCCAGCTGCTCTGCCACCCCTGGGGCTGCTGGCACAATGGTACCTCGCCAAAGCGTCTGCCACGTTCCAGAGAAAGCCTTTGTCGACAAGAAGGGGTCCTTACCAGTTGTAACTAGGTTATTTATCTTCCATGTCACTGGCATTTTTGCATACAATGTTTCTTGTCGATATTAATATAATATATATATATTTATATATATATAGATAGATCGAACAAATTTTGGACCAGGGGCCGGTTTGTTGCCATAATACTGGACCAGGACTTCCTTGAATCCACCACAGATCATAATCGATCATACTAGAAAAGGATGGAGTCACGGGTATTGCATATGAACTTGCACCTTCTCCCCGCAATTTAGCAAGAAATAACCTGGACGGATGCCAACCAAGGAACTACCATGGATATGGGGTATAAAATCGAACGTTTGGTGTTTAGTCCGTATTCATCCCCTTGTGTGAAGGAACATTCCGCATTTCGTCAATGATGGGGATGCCCTTCCAGTGGATGATCATTTTTTCCCATTGCCATTTGGGATACCATCTGGTTATTCCCTTATAAATGGAGGTTTTAATGGGAAAATTATCTATAAATGGGCTATTTTCAATGGCTATGTTAAATAACCAGATGGTATACCATGATATACCCCCATTGCAGACACACCTTTGGGCAGTTGAAACTGAGGCCGAGGCCGACTGCAGTGAGCGAACTGTTCACGCCCAACCTGGGCCGAGGGCCGAATCTCCCGCCGAGAAAATAAACCCTGCACATGCAAGGTGGTGCCCCATAGTTAGCTAAGTTGGTTTATAACTCCCATCACTATGGTTTATGGCAGATATAACTATAGTTAATGGGGGTTATAAACCAACTTATAACTGGGGGGCACCATCCTGTGGGTTTATCTGTCAAGGGGATTTATCCAAATCTATGGCTATCTTAAGAGGAAAAAACATGTGATGAACTTGTGGGCCTGTGGGTTAGGGGATGCCATGATACCCTATTACTATTGTCAAACAAATGCAAACAGGAACCCAAAATGAACAAAACCCATGCTAAGTGAAATGGATTACAGTAAAGCGGTCGGTTTGCACGATTGGTCGATTGGCTATTCAAAGTGGGGGCAGTGCAGTGCCCCTCTCTCCGGAGGTGCTTTTCCTAGCGTTTAGTAACTTTATAGACAAACAATGACACACGTAGGTATGATCATTGCTCTTCTGGCCCACGTACGTTGCATATCCCACATCAAATACATTTTCCTTAGTGTGGCATGTACGCTGATCCGGAATAATTTGGGATTGGCCCACTGTACCGGCCCTAGCGCATATGCTCACAAATGCTTACATACATCTGCACATAATGCCAACATGCAATAAATTGCGATAATATATATATATACATCATATATATAAACAGTATATCTATATTAATATATATATATATCAATGATATAATATGATATAATATATCATTAACATATTAATATATCATATAGTTTAACACAAGTTCTCGTTTCTATGCACATGTTTATCACATAGAGCGCGTGTATACAGTACACAATGTCTATCCCGCTGGGAACATTGGCAGCAAACGCTGCCGGTGCTGCTGGGAGTTCCCGCCCGTTGTATCGCGCCATGGCACCAATGGAGGCTGTCAACTGTGGCAAGGAACTCTGAGGAACCTGAAAGTCAGCCATGTCAGCCATGTCAGCCATATCAATGGATTGGTTTAAGGGAAAATCTACAGGAAACCATGGTTTTACCATCAAATATAGGGGTTTCCTATAAATTGTCCCATCATCCAATTCTATGACCATACCAAAAAAATGCGGAAACACACATTTTACAGAACGCGTGCAGCGGCGAAGTGGCAACTTTCAAATCGACACATTTCGACACATGGTGCTCACTCCACTTGTAGCATCACCTGGCATTAAGAAGACGAAGGTTTTTTTCCACCCAGGGTAGGCGTCTCAGGATGACATAGGATGACTCTTCCCCAGCAGCTTCCAAACAAGACATCTGTGGACCCAACGTTCTCCATGAAGTCGTGAACCAATAGCCTGACCCAAGGCTGGAGCCACATCACTACAAACTGCTAAATTGTTGAACAATCAGTTGAAGCAAACTCACCGATCAGACATTGATATCAAAATTGCTGGGTGAATATTCACTATAAATCTGGTTGGTGGTTTCAACCACCCCTCTGAAAAATATTTTGGTTCGTCAGATTGGATCATCATCCCAACTATTGGGGTTTCAATAAAAGCCATGTTCCAAACCACCAATCAGAAATGACCACCATTCACCAGTCAGTTTCGGCCCCTGAGATGTTGACTCCAGCAACTGGAAAACCGTTGGGAGGCCAGCGGACCTGATGGAAAGGGACATGAAAGGGAAAGCTTCGGGGGTGCCTTTATATCAAATGGGTATATAATTATTGTATATAATGGGAAAAGGACAACATGGGCACGTACAATCAACCATATCGAACTCAAACAATAATAAACAAAATAGTTTGTTTTGCCCTCAATGTATTGCAATGATGGGAAAATGAGGATCATTTTGCATGAATCACTTGATTTCGGCTACCCAATTTTCAAACAAAGTCAAATACTATGAAATGATATCAAGTGAATAGTGGAGAAATAATAAGAAACACGTGCTGTTAGTGCGGTGTATTGAGGTTGCATATTAGGATTATGATTTACTTTCATATAAGGAAATCATCCAAATACGCAATGGCTTTCATATATATGCAATCCCATCCCTCATATTAAACACCCCCGAGAAACCATGTAGGGGATTTCTACATAGTTGGCGCCATCATCACCAAGGTGTTCAATATTAGGGCCTAGGGGGATGTGATATATACCATGAAATCCGATTAAATCCACATTTACAAAACGGTCTGGGGTACCTTTCCGGCCATGACATGATGACTAGCTCTGCGCGGTTTCACCCTGGGTTCAGGCCCTGGCGCAGCCACCTCCTTCCCTTCACCTTGACAGGGCGAGTTTGGAAGCAACGAGATCACCCAACCCTTCAAATTAGCTCATGACAGCTATGAAAGATATGGTTGTTTTCCATAAATGGGACATCCCCAATAGCTGGATGGTCTATATAGGAAAGTCCGCAAAAGTCCCAACAACAATGGATGATTTGGGGGTAGCCCCTGCAGGAAATCTCGATATGTTCAGTGCCAAGATGTGCCAACTTCAGGCAGGACAAGCTGGTACATGTGAATAAAGTACAATAAAGTATCCTCAAAATCAGAAATGGGTGGTGAATGGGTGGTAACATGTGGTAACCATCCCCACATGGTAGGTAAAAACTTAGAAAGACAGTGTCTATTGGGTCAGGCTACAACGACTGAAGCACCGGGAGGCCACCTCGCCTGCACGGGTTACGGCCACTTCAGGCCTGCCGGCGATCCGTGTTGCTGTCACCGGCATCGATGTGTATCTTTGCAGCGCTTTTGCGGTCTATCAACATCTAGTGAATCTAGTGAATGAATTTGAATCTAGTGATTAATGGTAGCTGCCATTCAAAACTGACGGTGTGAGTCATCATGGTGTAGCTGGCATCTTTGTGACCGCTGACATGAATTCTTCACCTGGAAAATGATATATAAACCGCAAACATCATCAAACGCACCTGTTAGTCAATCTCTAGGGTTTTTCACCATCTTCAGGGCATGCCATGGGCTCAGTTGACCATATCATCATGGCCTTCCACATTGAAACATCCTGGCATATCCTGGCGCACCTATGCACATCTTCTTCCAGGTAGAAGTCAATGCCCGCCTGGTTGGAAACCACATGGTACGAATAATTTCTGAGCTGGCTGCCAATTCACCCTCACCGAGAGCCACACGGTCACACGGTCTGTAATGACTGATAATGAATGCATCATGGCAGGCTCAGCCATTTCTCGTTCACATATCATTTTGTTCAATGTCATAGGTTGGATGTTTCTACTTGGTATGGGAAATGAGCCATGGATGAGTCATGGATGGGTCCATTACCACTTTAAACACCAAACCTTGGTAGCTCACACCCGAATATTCCATGTGCAGCGCTGTTTTGTCGGCTTTGAGCTCAAAATTGGGTCTGACATAGCCCAACATGGTGTAATTATAGAGCTGATTTGCAAATTCTTCGCCGGGGTTCTGCAGCTGGGTGATGCTGGGTGGCTCACGAGAAAACATGCAGAGGTTCCCTGAGATCCATTTCAAGGAGTCCTCATACCACATGTCTAAAACAAAAGAACTACTCTGAGCGCAAGACCCGCTGCAGCTCAACAGATGCAGCAGTGGAGACCAATCGAATCCTTAGAACATTGCAGGTGAGAGGCCCATGGCCATCCGCAGTTGGGTCGCCATGGGTCAAATTTGTGGGTTCAACCAGCCCCAAATCTTCAGGTCATCAATGCTGACCCAATAGGATATACTACAACCAGAGGGATAACCAGGGCTTTGATATGATTCAGTGCAGCCAACAGAGCGTCAAAACAACAATATTGCTGTCATACAGAAGCCAGTGCATCAGCCAGCTTCCTATACAGAAACGATCCAAACGGCACAAAATCATCACTAGCTATCATCAATTCACGAAAAGATACGAAAAGTATCTATATGTAATTGTATGTACATGTAGCCCCAAAATCCCATCATCATGGTTCCCATATGGTTCCCATCAAGAGCGGCAACTTTCGTCACTGTTTCGACGCCTCTTCGGAGCTTCTGCAGCTTGGACACGGCAGGGCCATGTCGGCCATGTCACCCATTTCCCCAATGGATCTGTCTGATCCATGAAAGACCAGCAGAATGATGCTACAAAGAGACACTAAGCAAGCTGTAAGCTGTTCTGGTATCGGTGCCGGTTCAACAATTTGTTTCTCGACATCTTTATAGTCAATCTATTTAGTCTAGTCGTGAAAATAAGCTTTGAAAGATGATGTCATATCTGTTCGATGACGCCACCATGACCCCAACAAAAACTCGAGCATGGCCATGGTGCAATCACAAGCGTTCAAGTTGAGCGGCTGTCAGGCCATGTCAAGCTTGCCTTGTGCTACACCCGCTTGCTGTCTCTGCATCTCACGCGCAAGAACCCTCTATCACTGGGCGGAAGTAGCTTTGCCACTGCCAGTGCTTCGCGAGGCACATGTGCACCCCCACATGTGCACAACGCTCTTAATGCTCCCAGCCGCTGAGCAAAATATATGCACGATCCACATACACATCAACAGCAAACATGATGAACATAAAGATTATATAGAAACAACATGAAACAGCTATAGTTCACAAGCTGTGCATGTCCATGAAGTCACTTCAACAGAACTTGAACCTAGTTCAAGAACTCGCCGGGAGTGGTAAACCCCTGACCCTACGCCTCGAAGTCATGTGAGAAATGTGTGAACCCGGCAGGCCCTGGCGATCAGCGAAGACGCAGCCGCTTTACTTCACCATCCTGACTGAGATCACCCAAAACAATGAGCCAATATGGGGAATCATCGACAATCATCATGTCAGCTATGTCAGCTATGTCAGCTATGTATAGCTATGTCAGCTATGGGTGGAAGAATCATGGAAGCATAATGGAACATGGAAAAGCATGGAAAAGAGTTGAAGCCATCTGATTTCGAGCTGCCCGGAAGCCTTTCGCTGGAAGCTTCATGGCCTGCCAAACCGGCCGTGTCAGGGAACCAATAGATTGCATGTCAAAGACATCCGATGTGACTCACATTTTTTTGACAATTCACTGGATGTCATTGGAGTTTTTGTTCCCTCTCACTCTTGATGATGTGTTTCTGATAGTATTTCATGAGCATTCACCAACTACCAGCTATGACAGCTATGAGTTATACGAGGAGGTTCCCAAAATGGGGCCACAAAACCATGTCTTTCCCACTAGAAAATGGCACTTTTGGATTCCCCCATGTCAAGATACCGCCATAATGTTTGTATTGGTATAGGGGTTGGAGCCACTGCCCTTTTTCCTTTGCGAAGATATCAAAATGTTTCCGAATGTTTAGACAGCATGGCTACCACCTCAGTAGCACTACACACAGCCAGGGCTGCAACTCGTCGATCTGCTGGCCAAATGAGGTCTGTACACATGAGTTCCAGCAGGTGTGGAGTCTTGGGATGCTTCAGAAACTTCGAATCCCTGGGTTTCTCTTCAAAAAATTCCAGAGAAATTCTGGAAGTTCGCTTCAACAGGGATGGATCCACATCAGGCAAGGTCTCCACTTCACACCCTTCGCAGTTCATCCTTAGAATGCTCACATTATGGAGCCTCAACAGGAGAGCTTCCAGGGTGTAGCCTACAACTTCCTCTTTTTCATTGCAAGGATCCAGGGGGTCATACACCTCCCCTGCTTGCAAATCGCCCAAACCGGGGTTGCAGAACTGATGATTTGCCGACCTTTCCGACTGTGGCACCGTAGGTAGCGCAGGTACCAGGGCACCATGTAGGACCGTCACCTGATTTTGCAGTTGGTTCAGGGCAATGTTGTATTGGAGGAAGAAGGCAGCAAACTTGTTGGGCTCAACTGCCATTACCTCCATCTTCATGACCTTTGCAGCATACAGGGACCAGCAACCAACGTTGGAGCCGACCTCTAGAACCTGACGTTTTGACCATGTTGACCACTCAGGCCCTTCTGTCTGGGACCTGTTGGCCCAACTGGCCCAAGAGCGAAAGCCGTAGGTGTCATTCTGAAAGGTGGTTTGACAGTCTTCTGCAACGGAAGGATCTGCGTTCGGAGTTAACACTTGGTAGGATTCATTCAGATCACCTCACAAAAAATGATGCGACTCTGGCGCAGTCCCAACACAGATAACACAGTCACTGGTCGTTCTTTTTTGGCTGGAGGTGGCTAAATCGCCCACTGAATGACCTATCTCTATTGTCATGGCCCCAACCGAATTCTTTTGGCAAAGAATGATGCTTAGCTTTGCGCCATGATGTTTAAGGAATGAAGGAGAAAAAACACACTGAAAAAAAAACATAGCAAGTCACGAAACTCCAGGACTTTCCCGTGTTCAACGGCCTCCTGTGCCGCTTCCACGGATCCAAAAGCTTCGATACCTCTTGCCACCAAGGTGTCCGTCAAAAGACTCGCTGCAGTCGCAGGGCAAGCAGTCCAAAAAAGACTGAGGATGGCCCATAAAACGCCTAAGACCATTGGCATTTGGGGTGCAATCCTGACACCAGCTCTGCGGATTGAGCCACAATGAGCCGTGCGTGCCGGTCAAACTGTGATTCGTTTGTTTCAAAGTCATGGACTGGTGGGAAACCAAAACCTGCTACAGTCTACTTATTTTGTTGTCAGTTCTCTGCCCCAAAGGCATGCAAAATTGGGTACCCATATCACCATGACACCTCCCACCGTGTCTTCCCCAGTACCTCCGGAGCTCTTGAAGCGGATTCGTCTCAAGGGGACTGCCAAGCTTGTGACACCTGCGGGCACATAGGTTGTGATTCCGGAAGCATCCAAAAACATTGAGACGAACTTGTTGAGTGTTTCATCTACGTTCATGTGCGCGGTGCTGCTGAAGGGGCTATTAGTAGCCTGGTGCAGAATGTCATTGCAGCAAAAAGCAGCCAGATCTGAGAATGCGCGTGTTTGACTCAAGGCACATAGACAATCCGTTCCACGAATGCTCCACTAGTGGTGCACTGCAGGAAACTGACAAGCAGCTGCGAGATCTTCATCGCCCCCCGGATACTTCAAGAATGTGGATTCTCATTCCGCCAAGATTGTTGAACCGAACCCTTTTTCTTTCCCCATGGGATTGCTTTTGATGCTGACTGCCCATTGCAACTGTCCAATCGCTCCAATGATTTTCTGGCCTTCCTCAAGCCGTTGCTTCTTGCTGGGTGCCTCTAAAACCTGCAGCATTCGGCCCAATCTCAAGTCGGACCATCATTCAACATGCCGGTTTGATAGCCTGTTTGATAGCCCATCATGTCAGCTAACGGAGGTATGACGTCAATGATGCGCCCTGGGCCCCGGCCTCTGACTCTGCAGGCTCTGCCCCAGCAGCCTGCCCCAACGCCACATGGAGGTGGGTCGGATAGTGGCAACTTTGTAGATTGGAGCCGGCTAGTGTAACCCAGTCGAAATCCAAGATGAAAAACCCAGCAAAAGGGGATTGGACAGGGGTTTTCCTAGAGGACCCGGCCTGTTCCAGGTTGAAGTTCCTCTCAAAACTCACACTTCACACATCACCGCACCTTGCCTGATGCTCTTCGACCTGATCGGCCTGCTTTTCCGGAGACCTTGGCAAGCTTTGGGGTAAGACCACGTGGGATGGTGCGTCCTTTCTAAAACAGATTAAATTCACCAGGGAGACCCAGGGAGCATAGACATCATAGAGTGGCTGGTAACTTTTGCAGAAAACAGCCATATTTTTTGATGTTAATTGGGTTCATTAGTTATCTTTAAGTTTCTATTCATATGGAGGCCTCACGTCAATCGTCAACCGCCATTCAGTTGCTGAGAAACGACTCTGCTTGAAGCAATTTTTCCAGATCCTCGATCAACCTCAGGGACATCCACAATGGGTTCCATGGGTTCCATGCATGCCCTGTGTTGACCGCAAAACCACAAAATTGATCCAAGGTGCAGGGATTCTGACATCCTGAACGGAGGGTAAAGCCATCATTTTATAAATCCTGAACGGCCTTGTGCATCGAAACCCCATTGATAGGGATCTTTACACAGATACATTTGTGTGTGTGTGATCATGTGTGTAATATATATATATATGTATATATTATACATATATTTATATATACATTACATGATTCCATATATCATTGCATACTGTTGTTATATTTATATATATTACTATATATATTCTGATTATGCACATCACTTGAACCTACTCACACATGAATGCAACACATCTTTGGAACCACAAGTGCGCACTACTTGGATGTGCGCCCCGGTAAATGGTTCATAACAATGCGTCTTATCCAGTTACCTACCAAATATCCCAAATGAACATCAGGTATAAAATGAAGTCATTCTTAAACAGATACGCCGCGCCTACTATATACAATGTGCAGAATCACAGAATGCATGTTATGATCTGTTATAGGATTATCCAGTCATATTACTTTGATGCACATGCAAATCATCCAGTGCATCTTCTGACTTTTCCACCTGAATCTTGCAGCCACGCTGCGAGTCAGGTGCTTCCGGCGCAGACATTGGCTGCATCGGTCCTTCCTTGACCAAACGCCGGACATCTTCCTGCGCGGGGTGGCTGGTGAAGCATGGCTGGGCGTTTTGCGATTTCAGCCAGGGCAGTACACCTTATTGCACTTGAGCCAAAGGTACGTTCGTTTGGTACCTTGGCAGTGCTGGTTCAAACGTCCCCCCGTTGTTGGGATTTTGGAGCACAAACGAAGGAAACAACAAAGGCCACCAAAGCAAGGCAAATGCGCTCCCCCCAGCCAGGAGCACGTATGCCGAGCACACACAAGAAAGTGCTCAAATCGCCAACAAAAAAGGATGACCAGCATACAAGATGCTCAGCAAAGATGCCTATGACATATTTAGTCAAGGCGGTGAAAAACAAATTAGGAGCTCTCAAGGGCGCAAAAGCGTAGCAAGGGGCAGCGCCAAAAGAGCTGCTGAACAATGCGAGGCCAGTGCAGTCAGCGCCACAAAAGGATGAGATCCTCATGCCGGCGACCCGAGCCGAACTCTGGAGTCCCGGATTACCGATCTTAACCCTTAGTCTTAACTAACTTACATTGATGACCCGAGCCGAACTCTGGAGTCCTACGTCCGCCAAGCATCGTCGTTTCTAGGGTTCCGGCCACTAAGGTCTTTACAGTTAGGGTCGGGACCATTGTTGCATACCAAGGGACTGGGGATCAAATTTACCAGGGGCTAATGCCTTTGTAAAAAGATCGCCCAATTGTTCTGAAGTAGGGGTTTGTGACAAAGTGCACCATGATGAACAAGCTTCAGAAAGGGACGCCAATGATAGCTTCGGGGTTCTGGCTAAATGGCGAAGTTTGATACTATATCCCTTGCGAATGGCTTGTACTACGGCGGAGTTGTCCTCCCGCACAATTGCTTTTGGAATTTTGCTCCCCAACAAAGTGGTCAAAAGCATCAAGGCTGGCGAAAGTTCCTCATACACACCTTCACTCAAGGCATTTAACTCAGCATCGGCTGTGCTCCTAGCAACATGCTGCTGTCTTCGCGATGACCATGCTATTGGACAGAAAGTACCGTTCGGTCCGCGAATGACGAGGAACAAACCACTGGTTGATTTAGCGGGAAAAGGGCATCCTCCTAAATCTGCATCCACGTACAGGTCTATGGTGCAGTTTTGAGGTTCATCACAAACCGTGGAAGTCAAACACAAATCTCTGGTGGAGTTTAGGTAGGATACCAAACGGTACAATTGTTTGTCGCTGTTCTTTGACCATCGTGTTACCTGGGTGGCCAAGGCACTGATCGCATAGGCAAGGTCTGGCCGTGCCAAGCGGCAGACCCAAAGAAGTTTCATTAAAACAGATGATGCCTTATGTGATATCTGGCCCTCAGTTTCGTAGTCTTCCTGGATCAAAACCCCTTCATTCACATATGGAGTTGAAACATTACGGAAAACAACCTTGCCCCCTGCGGCCTCAACATACAAGTCGATTGCTTGTTGACAATAGTCACGCATGTTGAAAATGCAAACATTGTTTGAGATCTCATGACTCCTACCAATGAACTGGTTCAACAACTCCACATCATCCAACTGAATGCGTTCTTTGAGGGAAGCCCAAAATTGGTCCTGGTGAGCTGCAGGACCAGCGACCAACACGTCATCTACATAGACAACCACCAACAACATGGTGTTGGGACAATAGTACACACTAGGATGACCTTCCACAGGCAACAAACCAAGATCCCCAATCAACACTTGTTTCAAATGAAGATCCCAAAAGGCAGAAGCAAGTGGATGACCGTATAATGCTTTCTTCAATAACACTGTGGGTTGGCGATACTTACCAAACCAAGTTGGCAACCAAAGCTCTTGTGGAAGCACCACATAGGTTTCTTCTTCCATCAAAAGCATGGCTTGAAGAAAAGCCCTAGTGCAATCGGCGGCCTTGAGGACGTTTCCAGAAAGGAGTCCGTAAAATATAGCCAAATTGATTGCCTGAATATTGGTTGGTGTCGAAAACAAAGCACCGAACTGTGCGGCACCTCCCCAGGAGTCTCGCACATTATCTCCTCTAAAGACAAGACGTCCCTTGTAGCGACGTTTTTGTGGCGATTCCCAGTGTTTGATGGATGCAATTGGCATGACTTCTGCAACATGAATCACCTTGTTTTCGCGCCGAGCTAGAGCTAAACGATCACTCTTTTCCATCACACTGTCATCATCCCATACAAACTTTTCTCGAACCCCTTTCCCTTCTTCTTTGATGGCCTGAATGGCCTTTGGATCAGCCCTCATTTCTTCACGCGTTAGTAACTTGTGAATGGCTCCAATAACACAAATTTCAGGAGTGTGAAAATCATGAAGCCTAGCTCTATGAGGGTCAATTTTGAAAGGAAGTACTGGCATCATAGGAACCATGTCCATGATGACCCCAGGAAAAAGTGTGGTGATAATGCAAATGGCCATAGTGGTATTGCGCAAGCCCGGCTTGACGGTGATCTTTCCTTCTAGCTGACCATGAAAACCCTTTGCATGTCTGCATGTCTTAGTCTGAAGCTCTCTTATGAGTCTTGGGTTGTCAGTCTGAATGGTCCATTTTCTTTGAAAGTGTTTTTCATCAGAGATGAAACCAAAAGCGCACGCGTCCATGTGAACTGCTTGCAACCCAAGGGACGACATACAGTTCTGTACTTTTGGTTCGTTCCACCCCTCTGAGTGGTGACTCCATTCAAAACTGACTGACCCGCCACGAGAGCATTGTACAAGTTCGGCTAAGCTATGAAACTTGGTTACCAAATCCAGCGAAGCAGCCCTGCATTCAATAGTATATGGAAGTGATCCCCAAAGATGAACAGGACACTTTTCTTGTTGGATTTCATCTTGCACCCACAGAAGGAGTTGCTGAAATGCGTCTCCATCTTCAGCGTTCAAACATTCTTTCGTTACCCCCAAATAGGAAATGCCCAAACTCTCAGCAATCTTGCATACGGGTGAAGTTTCCTTACAACAGAACTCAATGAAAAGGCCCTTGGCTTTCCCAGCTTTCTTGGCCACACCCCCGGGAACCGGAAGAAACTCTCCTAGCTCTTCATCAAAAAAACCAGATTCAGGGGTTGAAGCAGCTGAAGTTGGTGTATAACCATTGCTTTCACCCCTATCTTCATTATCTGGTGGAGGACAAATTGGCACCTCATCGTGGGCAAGCGCATCCTCATCTTCAACAATGTCAAACAAATAACCCTTTTCCGTTGGTTCTGTACCACGCATCACGTCACCATCTCCGCCGACATACCCCCCCCGGGATCCAAAGCAAGTGGCTCAGCAGCATCTAACAAGGCATTAAACCGCGCACGACAAGCAGCAGTGTGAGAATAGGTGCCACGCAAGCAGCCATCGCATTCTGGAGTAGGCCCATACTGCAGCACACGTCGCTTGGTGATAGAGCGATTCCTGAAATCCTCAACACCTTCATCATCTACAAGGGCACGCGACGGAGGAATCTCGGGTAAAAGGCTTTTCAGCATGGGGACATGTGTGAAAGGGAAAATCCAACGACCACTGGGGGTCACAAAGTCTTTGGTTACTATCTCACGAACACGATCTGACTGAGTCAACGAGGAAAGATCAAACAAGATATGGACATCCTTACAACGCATGGCAGGCAAAACCTCTGGACCAACATAAATAGCGGGAATGCCACTAGGAGCAAAATCTTTAACCCGCGAAAGATACCAAACCAAGGCACCAAAGGGAACCATTCTGGTATCAGGTTGATATTGCAAAGCCATGTGAATTTTAGAGTCATACTCTACTGGCGGTGGTATTGGACCTTCAACCCCATCTGGTAAAGCATCATCTTGTTGACGAACCAAGTTTCGCAAACCATCGGGATCGTGAGACAATGCAGTGGTGAAATCATGCTGATATGTGAAACATGTCATGGCCCTTGGCCAAAACTCAATCCCAAGTCCGCTCTGCAAAAGTAAGGATCGGGTACCTTGACGTACATTCCGAATAGCTGATTCAGCAAGGGGATTATGCAGTGGATCGTTGGGAACTGATGGGTCAGGGTACAAACCCAAGTCACGAACAGCAGCCAAGATACTAGGATATCTGTCGGAGGCCACAATTGAGCGATTCTCCCTGCAAAAATGCCTAAGTGCGGCTTCGACAGACACCTGGGTTTTGTCCTTAGCAGGATACGCATGCATGACACCTGAATAGGCGTCAACGCAAATCAGGGCGTACTGTTCCCCCCGGAACCCTTCACTTGTAGACTCAAGATGGTCACATGCGATTTTCTGCAAGAAGGATCTGGGAGCTTCAATAATCTGGGCAAACTGCTTATCTTCGGATTGATTTTTAAAACGTTTATGGGCATGAGAACGAAGTTTTGCTTGCCTACAAACGTCACACGAAGGATGAGCTGGTTGATGAGTCAAAAGATGGTCAATTGGAATGCGAGGAGGAATCTTGGAATCTCCCTCTTCAAATGCTGGTGGTGGCGAGCCTTTAGGCTCATCACCTTCGGCTTTGTCTAGATCACCCGAAATGGGCCCCACAGGTGAACCAGAACCACGAATGATAGCTTCAATGCCCTCAATATCTGAAAGTTCATGTGGAGGATCTGATGAGACAACTTCTGGAACAACAGCTTCGCTCAAAGGAACATCTAGCGACCCTTCTGGAACGTCAGCGTCGAACGCCGGCATGCCAGATGCTACGGTTGCAGGCATCCCTGAAACAAAGGAAACTGATTCAGTAAAGATAGGCACACAGTGTTCTACTCGGGTGGCAGTCACACACCTAGAAGTGTCGCAACAAACCTCAAAGGAATTCCCAGGCGGCACAAGTGTTGGAACATGAGATGGTCCCCAAAAGAACGAAAACCCTTTCTCAACTAGCTTACCAAGACTACGAACATAAGGACATGACTTCAACATGTAAATCAAACCCTCACCAGTGCTCTCACCTTGGATCCCAATCGTCTTGGACGAATCTTTCACGCCCCCCCCCGTTTCAAATCGAAGAGGGTTGCTGGAAATTGTTTCCACATCTTGGATGAGTTGTTGAGGCACCCCTTGACGCATAAATGCAGGAATGGAAGCAAGATCTTCTCCAGCCCCACTGTCAAGCGCAAACTCGATGTCAAAGGATGAAGAAGCAACTGAAGCCGAGGTAGCGACATTGGCCGCGGTCCCCATTACCAGCATCGCAACTAAGCCTGGCTTGGACTTAGGTGCAGCAGGAACTGCTTTGGCCTTGGGCTGAGCTCCTGCAGTGTCATGACTGTACGGGCATTCAGCCCCACGTCGGCACAATCCCTTGGGGAAAAAAATGCATGGTCCTTTTGGCCTTTCAGGTTCATTGGAACCAGTTGACTCTTTCTTTGGAGCATTGCTCGGGTTCTTCTTGTCATGAGATTTGGAATCATTTGACAAACTTGAGGCAGGCGGTGATTGCTGAGAACCTTTACCTTTACCAAGCCCTCCTTTCCCTTTAGGTTTCCCTTTCCCTTTTCCTTTACCACCCTGAGTAGCGGCAACAGCAGCCTTGGGATCCGGGGAAACTTTGGAAGGAGAGGCAGGAGTTCCCAGCTTCTTGGGTCCTTTTCGCAGTCCTTCCTGAATTGAGGAAAGATTCTTTTCATGTTGTTGTTCCGCAATTTGACGTTGCAGCCTACCCCAAAGATACTCAAATGACCTTTCAACAGCATTGCTACCTGACTCTCGAATACGATCCAAAACAATTTGCATTGACCTGATTCTTTTCAATCTTTCGAAAAGCCATTTGGAAAGCATTGCATCTGGCGGTCTATCCGTGATTGGAAGTTGACCCAAAATGAATTGCACCCTATCTCGAAACGAAACTAGTGATGCCTGGTCACCTTCAGGACTGGGTATTTGGAAAAGTTCTACCGATGACACTACCCCACCTAGGGCTCCGTCCAAATCAAATTCGCGAATAATCATGTTCAGCAACACTCTTCCTCTAAGTTGCAACCCTTGTGTCATAGATTCTTCCAAATACGACTGTATGCGGGGACCAAAATAACCACGCAAACATGAATCGCGGGTCAGCCAACTGCACAGCATTCGGTCGAAACGAGGAAAGCCCCCAGAGTCAAATCTCAATTGCTCTACTTCATGTGGCAGCTTGGCATGAAAAGCTTCCATTAACCAAGTGTAGAGAAAATTCTGATCGCTCTTATCTAGGGCTATTAACATGGGTAACACCGCATTCTTCCAAGATCGCAATGCACCCGCCGAGTCTGGCAATGGCGGAAGTTTGACCGAAGATACATCTTTCCACCGAAGGCACTGATCCTCCATGGACACAGGATCATCATCATCATCATCCTCAGATTGTTGATTTGACCTTGGTACATGCCTGGCAGATCTGGCAGGGCTAAGTGGGGGAACTGGAGGTGGTGGAATTCCTGTGTCAGGGATCAATTCTTCTTCCGGATCACCTACAGCATTAATATCCTCAAAACCCCATTGTTCCAAGGCAACCAACCGCTGATTGATGTTCAAGAGATCGAATTCAAAAGTTCCCATCCTTTCAACCAATTGATCAATCCTAGCCATTAATTCCGCGTCATTATGTCTCAAAGAAGGTGACGATGTAGCCCTAGCAGAAATCAACTCTTGCTGCAATTCCCAAATCTGTGCTACCAAGTCTCTCTCCCTTTCTGCAAATTGATTCACCAAGGCTCTTTCGTGATTCATGATGGCCTGAGCTGCATTAGCCTGAGTCTGAGCAACAGTTTGCGCAGCTTCAGACGCGGTGTGAGCTGCAAAGGAGGCAGCTTGAGATTGAACCTGAGCAACTTCAACCGCGGCCTTAGTTCTAGCCTCAGTCACCAGTTGTTGTGCCTTAGACTCAAGAGAAGAAACAACTCTCTCTGCCTCGGCTCTGGTCTCAGTCTCTCTTTGGTTTGCTGAAAGGACTTCAACTGCAGCTTGTCTGACAACTTCAGGGTTGAGAGACGGAGCTACATATACTTGATTCAGCACTCTCTGATCTGACGGTCTCTCAGTTGGTCCGTTTTGTCCCGTTTCACCTTGGTGAAACCCTGATGGAAACCCTCTTCCTTCGGAAGGCGAGTCAACATTCATGGGTACCCCCAAGGATTGGGATCTTCTATTCCTACCCTTGGCATGGCCAACCCGCACCACGGCTGAAGATGGCTTTTTAGAACCGGTACGAACAGACCGAACAGAAGAACTTCTGGAACCACTTGGTGAGTTGTGCAACATTACTGGCATTGCCATTTCATTCTGATTCCCTGTTGATGAAGATGACAAGTTCAGACTCCCACTCCCTGACATGCTGTCGAGCTTCACTGGTAAAATCCCCGGTGGAACACTCGTGGAACCACAAGACGTGTCAAACTCTGGAGCCCTTCTCCGACAGACTGAACACAAGGCCAGCGACCGAATTTGTGGCTAGTGACTTGGACTCCTACCACTTGCCTAGATCTGATGGATTCGATTACCAGAGTTTTGTCGTCAACGTGTGCAGAACAATTAGATGAATCGACGCACCTCTTAAAATGATCAGCGGTGATTTCCAAAACAACCAAACGCTCTTGAGGGATTCCGTGGTTCGACAAGTAAGTGTTTAAATCGACCACTTCTTGTCTTAGCCTAGCCCGGCGTTCCCGTGATTTCTGTCCCTTTTCCCCAATATACGAACAAATCCCAATGCGGTGAGTCTCACTGGATTGCAAGAAATCTAGGATAGGTTTGCGATGGGATGCCCTGATGCCCTCAAAAGTTGGGGAGCCAGCTGTCAAGATTCAAACAATTGTGATAATCCAAAGACACACGGACCTCTAAAGGAGGAGGTGGCTTACTCGTCACAATCGCAGGTCCACCGTCAGCCTTCCCAAGATTCACCAAGGGAGCACTGAGTGACTGCTTGGGCGGTGCTTTGGGAAGTGTTTTTGGCTGAACAACTGGAACAACAGGAGCGAGGGGAAACGCTAAGCCCTCAGCCTTTGGGATTCCCGCAACAGACTCAGAAGCTGCTGGACCTAGACCTTTTGCCTTTGGAACAACAACAACACAAGAGTCAAAAGAGGTGGTCAAAACAGGAGTACAGTTTGGTGACGGAACACTTAGCTCAGAGGACCTCAAACCAGGGAACTTTGGTGATGAAACGATGGGAGTTGACTGAGATGAAGTTGCCTTTCCTTCAACAGAACTTGCCGAAAAGCTGGGGTTGGTTTGACCTTGTTGCTTTGCAGCAGTGACAGGCACCGAATCCTCTTTGATGACAGCTTCAACAGTCTTAGGAAAAGCAACAATGGATGAGCTCTTAGCGCTACGATCAGCTGATGAACCTGCACCTGTGCTCACGAAGGCCTTAGGAACAAACTCACCACGCTCAAAGCGTTCTCTTAGAACTTGCTGTTTCTTTGCCTTTTTACCTCCACGCCTCTTTTTAGCAGGACGTTCGTCACTGAAATTTTCACTCATGCAACACAAAGCACCCTGAAACCCTGCTAGCCCCTTGCCTCAACCCGCGCCGAACGCGGAAGATGAGGGTGCAGATGAGAGAGACGGATAGTCCCAAGATGCAAGCGCAGTGAGCAAGAGCAGCGGCGCACAAACGGGAAGCAGCAGCTAGGCAACGAAAGCAGCAATAGCAAATGGCAAGCGAGGCACGAGTCGATACGGCTGGATAACCGCGTTTTGCGATTTCAGCCAGGGCAGTACACCTTATTGCACTTGAGCCAAAGGTACGTTCGTTTGGTACCTTGGCAGTGCTGGTTCAAACGTGCTGGTCTGGAAATGGGAAATTATACTCCGGCCACTTAACATAGCTATTGAAAATTAGCCATTTACACGTGATTTACCCATTAAAATTGTATTTTCCAGAGTTATATAATTAGTTTTTTTGGTTGACCAGAGGGTAATGGAATTGTTGTCCTAATTGGAAATGGGACAAACAAAGTAAGACATGAATGGAACTGATCCGTCGTATAATTTCGTAGGTATACAAGGAGGTTTCCCATTGTCAGGTTGCATTGCAGGTGGGTATATCCACCTTTGGTTGGTGGTGCTAGTCAACTGGGACAGTGCCAACAGTGCCAACGAAATGACCAGAAAAGGCCAACAATATCGACTACAACACAATTCCAAGAACGGGGACCTGAACACATCCTAGTTGAAAATAGAGGGATGGTCTCCTGCAACTTCTACTGCCACAAAAAGTTTCACAGGGAGGTGATCGACCAGGAATGTGCCCCCTTTACATGGTGGAAACATGTGGAAACATCGGCTCCTCCGACAGCTCTGAAGCGGCGAGCGCCACGGCACGTTCTGCCTTGCATCACCAACGCCCCAAGGGGCCTATAAATTGGCAAGTTGAGGCAGCAATGATCTTTAATGACATCATCTAAAATGATCTTTAACCAAATTGAGGCAGAAATTCATCATCTAATCTAAATGATCCAAAATGATCCAAAATGATCCAGACTGATCTTTAACCAATCCATTAAGGACTCGAAGATTTGGACATATTTTGACCCCAGGCCCCAGGCCCCAGGCCCCAGCCATGCCAGCCATGCCCGACACATCCTGGCGCCTCTGCCTGATCCGCCCGGCTGACGGCGGCTTCCGCCGCGGAACGCCACGTGGCCAGCTGGCCCTTGAGGTCAGCGCAACTTGCGCTAAGGCGTGAAGCCTCTTGCGCCTGGGCCCGGGGTGTCTTGTCCATAGGGGATACAGCAATTTATGGCGATGTTCATGGGAGTCTTGTGGGATTACAGCAGAATATAGTGGAATATTGATGAGTACTGCATAAGCAGCAATATGATAAGTGCCTTTGGAAATGCAAAATTGCGGTTTGAACCGTGAAAAATCGCGGTCAAACAATATAAGGACGATGATGGAATAAACAATTATGGGTCCTTAAACGATCATTTTTAAACAGGTGTGGTGTTGTGTTGAACGAACAACTTTCAATAACACAGTTAATTACTTTCCCTTCGAACACCTGCTGGGCTGAGGTGAGAACTTGATTGAGACACTGTTCGAACATGTTTGTTGGAATCAAGCCAGTCCAAAACGTCAAATTAAAAGTATATAGTTGTTTGCTTGGGGAAAAAGTTGATGTTGCTGGTATAAAAATGCATGTTGCTGGTACAAAAGTGGATGTTTCGAAAACCCACAGTTTCGATCAACAGAGCACACTATCTTTTCGACCGCAGGCTATTTCGACATGATTTGCGTAGTAATGTTCGAAACGATTTCGAAACGATTTCAGAACAGTTCAAACGGCAACTTTTTCTTGAAACGATCACATCGATCATAGTTAAACTTGGCATTCGATGACTTTAAAGTGGATGTTTTAGGTTCCGGGATGGTAATTTGAACCATGACAAATGGTGGTTTGAAGCATCAAAACTGCGGAACTATATGATGTAACTAACTGGAACAGAGATTGAACCGTCAAAGAATAGTGGTTTCACTCTCAAACCAGTGGATGTAACGAAGCAACATGGCGGCTATTTTATGGTTTTTTATGGGATATCCACTTTTTACCAAAATCAATCCATGACAAACTGGTTTTCAAACCCAGAAACGGGGTTTGACCACCAAACATGCAGGTTGAAGAAACAGAGTGGTGGATAGTTTCTATAATCTACAAAACCTGACTGGAACCCCTCTGATTTAAACATGTATGGATGATGTTCAAATTGAAGGGGGTTCCAGCCATGTAATGTCTGTTTTCCGGGCACTAGAAACCGTTGCTGAGAGACGCGCTGTACATTAAATCTAGATTTTAAATTATTCGCAGTATAAGTGCTCTCTTGATAGGTTAAAAGTGTTACACATATTACAAAGACATGCAACAACTTCTACATCCGGGCATGGAGATCCAAACCTAAAGCGAATCCAGCGTATCTTATGACCATCTTGAAGTTTTCACTTTCCCCACCTGCGCAGTGAACTTCATGGCAGCTTTCCTCAGTGGGCGCCAGCGACAGAATTACCAATGGGAATATCCACAGCCTGTGTGCAAGAAGCAAGTGGTATCTTGATCCAATACCTCCGGGGTGGGGTCCAATACGGCCCCCGTCAATGCCCCACTTCCAGCTTTGAAAGGCCTATGAGCCTATGACCCATGGACTGGTGCTGGGAGCCAGGTTCGGAGCTCAGGGGATCGTTCCCTTCACCACCCACTGCTCAACATGGAGTGGAAAATAACACGCGGGAAGTTTGGAAGCTATCCGTCTTTGGTAACTATTTGAACTTTATCAACTTTCATCAAAGTTCCGCCCATCCACAGTCCCCTAAACCTGTTAAAGTTTAGGAATGGGTCAAAGCCCCGGTAAACCCAACATTCCAACAGTTGTTACCAGAATGGACCGAACATCAGTGTTGACGTCCGTTACAAGAGAAACAATTCATTCATTCATCTCCCTCTTTCTCTCTCTCTCTCTCTTTCTTTCTCCATCCTTAACAACTTTCCAATCAATCCAATCTAACCTTGTCCAATCAGTCTGAATCCTCTGATTCATGCTCTGTTTCCATCACTCAAGCACTATCTCGGTTACTATTGCTGAATGTATTATATACAGACATATAAAAATATTTGTATGTATGTATGTATGTGTGTATGTATGTTACGTATGTTACGTATGTTACGTATGTTACGTATGTTACGTATGTTACGTATGTTGCGTATGTTACGTATGTTAGGTATGTTATGTATGTTATGTATGTTATGTATGTTATGTATGTTATGTATGTTATGTATGTAATGTATGTAATGTATGTAATGTATGTAATGCATGTAATGCATGTAATGTATGTAATGTATGTAATGTATGTAATGTATGTAATGTATGTAATGTAAGTAATGTATGTAATGTATGTAATGTATGTAATGTATGTAATGTTGTATGTATGTATGTATGTATGTAATGCAATTTAATGCATTATGCATGTAATGCAAGCCAATGCATGTAATCCATGTAATGCATGTAATGCATGTACTGTATTAATCATGTCATGCATGTATGCAGGTAATGCTGTAATGCATGTAAAATCATGTATGCATGTATGCATGTATGCAATTTACATGCATTCAATGCATCAATGCAGCAATGCATGTAATGCAATGCATCTGCAATGCCAGGTAATGCAATGTAATGCCTGTATGCATGCAATGCATGCAATGCATGCAATGCATGCAATGCATGCAATGCATGCAATGTATGTAATGGATGTAATGCATGTAATGCATGTAATGCATGTAATGCATGTAATGCATGTAATGCATGTAATGCATGTAATGCATGTAATGCATGTAATGCATGTAATGCATGTAATGCATGTAATGCATGTAATGCATTTAGTGCATTTAGTGCATGTAATGCATGTAATGCATGTAATGCATGTAGTGCATGTAGTGCATGTAGTGCATGTAGTGCATGTAGTGCATGTAGTGCATGTAGTGCATGTAGTGTATGTAGTGTATGTAGTGTATGTAGTGTATGTAGTGTATGTAGTGTATGTAGTGCATGTAATGTATGTAATGTATGTAATGTATGTAATGTATGTAATGTATGTAATGTATGTAATGTATGTAGTCTAGGAAACGTATGAAACGTATGAAACGTATGAAACGTATGTAACGTATGTAACGTATGTAACGTATGTCCCGCCAGCCCTGGGGTTCCCCGAGCCACCGAATGTCTCGCTGACGTTGATCAGTGTCCGTTTTCCTTTTTTTTTGGGCTCAGATGGACGCCGTAGTCCTCGCCGTGTACGTGTCTCTTTCCATATCATGGTTACTTCGCTGCAGCGGGTGTGATCTGTGGCCGACGTTTCGACCGACGTGCGTGCAACTTTGGGAAGTTCTTCATGTTTGTCGGCTGAACTGTTTGTTGGCACGTTGGTTGGGGGGTGGGGTTGTGGGGGGTGGGGGGGGGGGGGGGGGGGGGGGGGGGGGGGGGGGTTGAAGAGGGGCCCTAGCGTCTACTTCAAGATCAGCTAAGGCGTCTTCCCCAATGACAGCACTCTTTTACTCTCAGCCTGTTGCCGGTCCGTGCTTGTCTACAGGGTTACTCTATATACCTCTTGAGCCTTGAAGGGCGCATATAAATGTGCTCAATACTCATGCATGTACCTATGTAGGTATTAGGTCGAAACAAAAACACAGGCACAAATTCAAAAGCAATGAGTAGAGCACGACGCCTTGCCGTACCCAATTGGTATTAAGAGTATCTTCCTGACTTCTCTACACAATGGCAAATAGCAAAAGAAACCGGAGTTACGCAGTGGCTTCGAATTGAAAAACACGTGAAAGCAGCGAATGTCCTAAGGACATGTCGAAAAAGAACAGCGGATTCGCTAATTTTTCCAGTAGCGACCAATGGTGCTTCGCGCACGGTCTCTCCATAGGCAAAATGCCTTGCTCTACCGGTGAAAGTTCGAATTGAAAAGTTCGGGTTCGCAAGATTCAG